CAATGCTGCGAGCAAATATACAAATTTTTCCTTTCCAGTGGAACAGAAAATCGTATTAGAATAATTTTGTTATGTTCTGATAAAGAAAATGCAAAATGCCCTGCACACTTTCGAGTAGAAATCTGAAGATATTGAAACAATAATTTTGATGAAATAGATCAGTTGACTGGAATTAAATATTTTCCTACGTTTTAAGGAGCAATTACAAAGTAAATGTAGTTTCTTTGTGATTAATGACTCCATACTAGATGAAGCAGGTATTAGCTGGTTGAAAGCAAATGTCATTTATAAATAAGTTGCTGAATTTTGCTTATAGATAGGCAGTTGTGCAGTTTATTAAGCTTCTAGAAGCAAGAAATACAAAAAATCTCATCGGCGGCATTCAAACGCCAGATATTTCGATTGCTAGTCGGATCATGTGGGTAGTGTTTACACTGAAGAACCAAAACATTATGATCATTTACTCCATAACGCGTTGCGTGAGCTTTGGCCTGAAAAGCAGCTGCAACTCGTCTTGGCATGGTTGGCACAAGTTCTTGGTAGCTGACTGAAGACAGTTCGTACCAAATGCAGCGGTCACGCAAAGTCGAGACATTCCGACATGTTGATGTTTGAGCTCTGAACTGCCGCTCCATGACATCCTAAATGTGCTCAATCGAGCTAAAATACAGTGAGTTAGGTGGCCAGGACATTAACTGGAATTCATACTCAGTTTGAACAGTTTGAGCCTTGTGACATGAGGCGTTATCCTGCTGAAGGATTCCACTTTCGGTTGGGAAGACAAACGCTATGTAAGGATGCAGATGATCCGCAGTTATGTTCAGATAGATGACAATGATGCTTGTTCAACAGAAGCACGCGTGTGGGACATCTGCTGTGCAGTCCCATATTCAACAGCGTCCGTTGAACTTTGTGTTCAGAAACACTTGCACCTGCATTGAATTGGGCTCTCAACTGAGCCTAGTGTCTGTACCAAGCGGGATAGTCTTCCATGTCCTTTTCTTTGATGATTCATGGATGTCAAACAACTTGGCGTCTGCTGCTGGTTTCATTGTCATTTATCCACTTTGCATAAATTCTAAACAAAGGCAGATCGTGAACAACCTACCAGTCGTGCAGTTTCGCAGATACTCCTTTTGAGTCTTGGAGCCATTACAATCTGCCCTCTACCAAATTTCCTTAGATCACTACCCTTTTCCATCACTCGCAAAAGTAAGTGACGAGCAGCAGTTAAATACCATGCGGGGATTGTCATAATTTTTTCTCTCATCAGTGTATACCACAGAGGTACACAGTGGAAAAGGCAAAAGTTTATATTCTTTCCCCACACTTTAAAGGGCGACTGGGGAGCGAGGAGACTTAATTGTCTAATCCAGGTGGTCCGGAATTACCGTCCACAATATTTTAGTCAGGTTACACTCGTAGAGCTATTTAGAAATTTGGAATGATAAACGTCATAAAGGTCATCAGAAAACAGAATTTCGATGACTGTGTCCAAGTCGAGATTCGAATTCTGAATTGATCGCTAGCTGGAAAAACTACCGATTTCATCTCGAAAGCTGGAAATTTTTGTACTTTGTCAATTAATGAATAACTGCATTTTTCTGGCTGAGCCTTTTTCTTTTAGAGGAACAACATAAAAAAGTGAATTTTGTATTTTGCTGAAGTAGTGCTAAAACTATTGTAAAATTTTCTGTCTAATTCAAAGAACCTTATATAGCAGGAAGTGAAGAGAATCCATTCCATCTCATCGTCATCAGACGTATGCACATCATTGACATCTATATTATATTCTATTTTACGTTTTTGACATAAAATGTTTCATGTGCGTCATTTATTGCAGCTAGTGGGATTTATACATGCATCCAACAGGATTCCTATATGAAACGAGTAAAATATGTACCTATGAACAACGAAATATATTCAAAATATGCACCAAAGAATTATCAAAATACCAGGTGGTATTTCAAAGTAAAATAATTAGAAAAGTATATAAAGAAACGCAGAATGCGTGACGTTGACTGGCAACATGGAAGGGCGCCCAATAGGAGAAAGATGAAAACGCTACACACTGTGTAGTGGATGGATTTTTTACTGGAGTCGTGTGCCACGTCATAGATGTTGTGCTGAAATGGTAGTACTACGAGCACAACGCATGAATCCATAGACAAAGTTCTAGTGCTCCGTCCACTTTCCCCTGTACCTGCAGTAAGTAGGTTCATTTTGGTTAAAATGAAGGTTTAAAATGCGACAAAATGCTTGACTGCTAATGTATGTTAGTTACACACTTTAAGTTGTTTATCTCTAAAGTATTCTTTTTTATTTTTTTCTCCAGATTATGGGAAAATGATTATAGATTATTATAGATAGACTTTTATGAAATATTCATAGCTAACTTTAATTGTTAAGATCACAAGCATTGTTAGTCAATTGTATTTGGAGGATGGCATAGTAATAATGGTTTTCAGAAGTAGATACTACGTTTGTCGAAGTTGAGCGCGTTTCTAAACGTTCTGTAATTACTGTGAAGCTGGAACTGGTGATTTTATTCCCTCCGCAGGCAGCCAACTGTAGGACATCAATAACCGCATACTTATCTAACATACATGATGACACCGCACATACATTTTCTTTGTCAAGAATATTTTGGACATGGGAATTTATGCACTTAACAAGAAAAATAAGATACTTGGAACATTCTCTTTGCATTTCTTGAAATGTCATGAATACAGCAAGTTAGTGCCAACTGCTATGAAAAATATACTTGCTTTGGAAATTTCAGCATATTTTCAGCAATCTTTATCTTTCACGGTCTACCTATATCTTTACAAGTATTATTAGAAGTACGTCACTGGACAGGCAGCTGTTCCGCACCAAGCTTTCAGTTTGACATCTGTCGGTGGAAAAGAGTTACTAATATCCAAGCCAATTCCAGGTTTGGAATTAGAAGATAAGCAGCAGATACAAAAATACATACAGGGTGTTTCAACAAATACGTTTCAAACTTTCAGAAGAGATATAGTACACCTAGACGATGAAAAAACACATAGCAATGCATGGTCGGAAACGCTTTCCTGACGTGGTAGTAAAGACACAAAACACAAGAAAGGAAGCACAGGAACCAGGTGAGAATATATGTTTATTATGCGTTTAGCGGAAACCAAGAAATAAGAACAAAAACAGACGATCGTCATAAAAAAAAAGTGTTCGAAATTACATTCAAAATGTATTCTCAGCATGGGATCGTCAGGGGTGATCCGGTGCATTGGCCAGCAAGATCGCCAGCCCCCACTTGCTAACTAACTACTTCTTCTGAGGGTACGTCAAGATACTGGTGTACGAAACCCCTGCTAGAAGTGCTGAGGAACTTGTTGCAAACTTCCTGGCAGCTACTGGAGAAGCCTGGGACATGCCCGGTATTTTCCAGAACATCAGATTTCCATGTGCCGGGCATGTGAAGCCTGCATCAGGGTTCGGGGTCGTAATTTCGAACACCTTCTTTGATGCCGATCTCTGATGCCTCTATTTTTGTTTATTTCTTGATTTCTGTATATTTCTTGATTTCTGTGGTACTTAAAGAATAATGAACATGTTTCCTCACCCTGTTCATGTTCTTCATTTCTAGTGTTTTGTGTTGTCACTACCACACCAGGAAAGCCTTTTCGACCATGCATTGCTGTGCGATTTTCCATCGTCTAGGTGTACTCTATTTCTCCTGAAAATTTGTAGCGGATTTGATGAAATACTCTGTATATTTAAGGGGCAAAGAAAGGCCATTAAGAAACGCGAAATTTATTAGGTGCTCGTGAGAAAAATGTAAATTGCTCAATGAAAAGTAAATATGGAGGATTTAACTGCACAGTTAAGTCCGCTATATTTATTTTTAACTACACATTTATGTCCGTCATATTTATTTTTCATAGCTCGTGAGGACTTTCATAATACGGAATCATTTCAAATTAGTTGAACCATCGTAATCTGTGATTTTGATAATCCTGAGTCTTCGCTACTGTAGCATGTATAATACTACTGTAGCATGTATACTGTAGCATGTATAATAGCCATCAAAACCTGCAGTTCTATTTGAGTGTCACACGAAAACGTACGGGTTTAGGTCATACTTGGAACAACTGAAATATGCAATTACTTTACAGAATTTGTTTTGACGAAGGTATGAGAGAATTACGCAGTATCCAGTACAACATTACGCGATAGCTGTTCGTTGATTTCATATTCTGATATAATTAAGGATTTGTAGGCCAGTTTATGTTTGCTTTTTTGCATTTCCTTTCGATAAAATAAGTATGGAGACCATCATAATATGAGCAATAATCACGTCTTGAAACTAGAAATATTCAAGTATTATGAATCACTTGATTACAAAATTAGTTGCAATTGATTACAAAAGTTTCAATCATTTTTTCATATCTGGGCAATAGTAGAAACGTAGCCTTTCCTAAACATCTTGTAAAAATAAAGTGGATGAATGGTATAACTGGTCCAAACAGTAATTCTTTGACTTGGCACCAGATATAACTCTTTCGTTATGGAACGATTTCTTATGTATTTTTTGTGCATGAATGAAATTATTTATCGAAACCGATTTATCCAATAGATTAGTTGTAGAACTTCTATAAAATTTGATGCAGCTTATAAATCCCGAAAACTATGGAAAATAAGACCTCCACCTCCTTTAATGTAATTATTGTTTTCGTACTTGGTAGGCTTGAAATTGTACTTTTTAAAACTCTTTAAATTGAAAGACTACTGTATTGATTTTTTACAAAACAGTTTACATTTACAGATCATTCGTGGAAAATCTACAGTTTTATTTTGTTTATTACTTTTTTTGCTCCCTTTGTAATGCATGTGAGCTTTTTCTAGCCAATCATCTTAATAAATTTTAATCAGTAATGAGTACATTTTTTATATCTTCATTAGCTTTATTTTGTGGAACGATACAATTGTTTAACTAGTCATTTCTTTTCTTTTTCCGGTAGGAGAACATCTAAATTGTCCGAATCATTTCGATGGCTTCGGTGGGCAATTGTCTCACGCAATCAAGATGTCCGCCAACGCCGAGATCCATGTAGACGATGACGAATATTTGACCGTGGGTTCGGACCAAGGAACCAATCTAGTGAAGGTGGCGGTGCACGAAGTTGGTCACGCTCTTGGTCTCTTTCATACATCGAGAAACTATTCCATCATGTATGCCATCTACTCCCAAGTCATACCGAATAACAACTTTGAACTCGGATGGGAAGACAGAAAGCTTGTTCAGAACATTTATGGTAAAGAAGTTGCTTACTTTAAAATCATACCGTATCTCTAACTCTCTGTAGTATCACTTTCTATACAATAGATGTTACGGATTAATATCATACAGCATATTTTATTTTTATGCATTGCAACTAATCATATGCATGTAGAAGGCCCGCTTATTTCCAAACTAATGGGTTTACCAAGCCATATCATAAACTGTTGTCATGTTATAGAACTAAAGTGTCTCTTCAACAAGCTGCTTCTCACGAACAATATATATATATATATATATGCATAACATACAAATAGTAATGCCGCACAAAATTTTGGCATACAGTATCTGTAAAATGATCATCGGCATGTGTAAATAGAGCAACCCTTTTCTGCGTTTTCTTTAATCTTTATTTGCTGCTGGAATACTGAATCTTCGTATTGAGATTTTTGCTTTACTGTCATTCTAAATTTCTCGTCATCTCATATTATATTACAGACAACATATTGATAAAAATTTCACTGCGAAATTCTTCCGCAATACTTTGCAACTTTTCTAGTTATGAGCTGCTATTTTTTATAAATGTGTTTTAGTTGTATGAAATATTTGCGTCACCCATTACTTCAGGGGAAAATCCATGGAAAAACTTCATTTTTGTGTAGTTAGTTGTTCGTTTTCTAAAGTGAAAAGTGAATTTCAAAAGAATGATACTCTTCTGTTGCCATTCATGTGAAATTCATTTCTTAAAAAATTATTTTTCAGGTCTATAAGCCGTGATTAAGTGTGTTCTCTTCCTATCAGGTATCTGCAAAGTTCGATTTAGTACTGTTTTTGATTGGGTGAGAAGGAGACCGGATGGACAACTAATTTATAACACCTATTTCTTCCGCGACAACAGATATTGGATGTACGAGAACAGATACAACCGAACCCGATACGGAGATCCCCTACACATCATGCCCGAGTGGAAGGGTATACCGGATGACGTGGACGGTTATGCCCATGTCTGGACGTACACACAAGATTCTGCTTATTTCTTCAAAGGTAAGTTAAGAGACAACGTTAACTGTATATAGTATTTAGACAGTGAAGTAACCTCCAACTTAATGCAAGTAAAGCGTTCCGTAAAACCTTACGTAATTCTAATTTTACGTAAGTCGAGTGTATAAGTTTGTTTAAGTGTAACTTCATAAAAAAAATTGCCCTATTTAATATATGTATGTATGAATATATGCATATATGCTATTAATTTAGTAATATTTATAAATAAGCCATCGTGCAACACCATTTTCTCGGTTATAAAATATAAAAGTGGGAAAATTATCCAAAAGAATATCGATATAAAAAAACTAAAATAGCTCTTTTCAAGTTAAAAAAAGATCTTGTGACATTTAATTTGACTTTGACAATTCCTGTCCTTTTCGATGTTGAAGTCTGAGGGCAATGAGGATCGCTCAAGTTGTTATTTTGACGTTATGGCAATAGCATCTTACTAACAGACAAAAAAGTCTGTATTAGGTAGGTTGTGTGGTCACACCGTTTTGGCTATGGTAGATGGTGTTATAGCTACATGCATCGGAATGAATACGGCTGCTAGCAATCTCGAACCGATCCGGTGTTTGGATCCCGGTCTTCTCTTGTAAATCTTTGTGTAAAGACCTTCCTGATTTCTCCGGGGTAATCAGAAACCCAACGGTATCCGTATTTGCGTTAGATCCACGGTCCAATGAAATAATTATTTCTCTATCTCTGAAATCGAACTCAGACATTTCTTGGTAATAATTGTGCCTCTCAACGTTACAACGGCGACTTGAACCTAAGATGGGTGATGTGAGAGCAACGTTTTGATGCAAATCTTCCGAGTGTGGACCTGGCGTTTTCGAAATCTAATGTAAAACAATGACCTTCCTCTTGTTTTGAAAATCAAGTGTGCAAAATTTCGTCAAGATCGGAATTAAACTCTACATTTGTATTATTTGCGCACACTGAAACAAACGGAAACTCCTCTTTTTTCGTGTATATATATATATATATATATATATGGATTGGTAGGGAGTTAACTGCCATAGCATTGGCTCCGGGTTGGAACCCCGGAGAAGATATAAACGTTTGTGAGTATTCTTTGCGGTATGGAAGCGCTTTAAAGTACTATCGAGTCGAACGTCCTATCGAGAAATTAATGGATGGAGTAGATAGTTGGAAACTCTCGAATTTTTCTCTTAGGGAATTTTATTTCAAATTTAGAATGGAGCTGTTCAAAATCGGTAATGTAAAGGTGCATTAGGCAAAGCCCTAGCGTTTCTGGCCACGATGAATTCGCCGAGTTGATAACAATAACAACATAATTAATAATTTAACTTGTTTATAACCTCGAGTAACAAGTATTTTAAAGTTGCTGTAAAGCTTAATTAATTATATATTTTCTTAAACCTTATTAAATCGGAAGAAACCGCTCTAAATATTTTAGCGGCAATATATTATTTTTTCGTCCTTGTAATAACATTTCATTAAACCCATTTAAACATTTAACATGTTACAGTATCTAATGAAATAATATTTAAAAAAATTGCTTAAATAATAAAAAATATGATTAACAAAGTTAATATTGTTAACGATACTGTGGGAAGGAAAAAAAAAATCCGTTTTCACTAATGGTTGGTTTTTAAAGCACATGACATAATTATCTAATTTAAGTAGTTAAATATTGAAATATAACTAACTTGGGAAAACTAACAAATTAGCATCAGAACTGGAGTAAAAAGAAATAATTTTGTTTCTAATTATTACTGTCTATTCTGTTTTTTTTTTTTTTTTTTTCCACTTTTTACCAGAATGGTTCATAGCATGAACTTGGAAACTGATCGTGCATGCTTACTAATTTAATAATTTTTCAATTTTTGTTAACGTACAAAATTTAGGAAATAGTTCTTTTTCTAGAAATTTCCAAGCAAATTTGCTTGTGAAAAGTTTATAAGAACCTTAATTGATTATTAACAAAGATTATTAAGAACATTATTTTATTAAGGCTTAATATAATAAACACTAAAATGTTAAAAAAGTGACACTGATTTATTCACAATCTAAAACAAAAGAGATGAAATCTTGTTTGCATCGAACAGTGGGGAAGAATACCGTTGGAAGCAAAAGTAAAGAAGTGAAAATTACTTTGACCGCTTTTTTAAGACAATTGACGGTTTCTGGTGATTTACGAATACAAAAAGATAAATCTAGTCAATCCTTTCGTTAATCAAAAGTGAACTTGTTAGTTTTCCTATTATCAGATGTAAATATATCCCCCCCTTTTTTTTCTCCGATACCTTTCACCTGTGCCTCATTCTAATTAGATGAAATGTTATTTCCAAAGTAGCAAACCGAAAAACTGTCTATAAGATTGTAGAGTTGCGCGCCTCCAACCTGCACGCAACCAAGAGGTGACTGTTGAAACTGGAATTTAGACAGAGTCTTGCTAAGGGTTTAAGTCCCTTTTTATTCAACTTAAGGAATTACAATTGCGTGCTCTTGACGCTCACAAACTACGCCGACCCGGCGATAAAATAAAAATAAGAACCTGAAAAGAAATAATAATAAGACTCTAACTACGAGGCTCTCTAAACGTAACTAACCTCACCGCGTTTTACAATACCTCTGCTAATTCAGCAAACTTTGAATATCACGTTGAACGATTAACAATTCTCCGAGGCAAGCATACAGGCCGAAACGCGGGGTTCTTCAATTTCTGGCTAACTACCTCCGCGCTCGTGAAGTAAGAACAGCACATCTCGAACTCCTTTCCTTTCTATTTAACTCAGAATACTTCCGCTGATAATTCGAATCCTTGCGCGTTCTACTAAAATTTACATACTCTGGCATTGGCAGTTCCAGGGGAAAGTAAGGCTTGACAGGAAAGATAGTTTAAACTTAAAATAAATGTTAGTTAAAATAAATATAAACCCTACAAGATGATAAAATTAGGAAAATATAAGCGACCGGAAGTATTAAAAACATAAAAAAATTTCTGATGTATGTTTAAATAGTATTTTCTGATATTTAAGCTCTCAAAATTCGTGGCGAAAGAATTTCTAGTTTTCCAAGGCACGGGTAGAAAATGAACTCGATTTTTTTTTTCTTTCCTTTCTCCCCATTTTCTTTTGTGTGTGTGGGGGGTTGCTTAAAATTTATTCATATTAATGTTAAAAATATCTTGGAGCTCCACTCTCAGGGCCGTTCCTAGGCCATTAGCTGCCCGCGTACTTTCTTGGAAATGCCGCCTCTAGGCCACTGTCCGCCAGGTACTTTCCTAGGATTGCTGCCTTCAAAATTAAAAAATTGCTCAAGGATTAATAACATTTTAATTTCATATTCACTAAGTACTTACATATGACAAATTGTACAAAAGTACTTACATATGATAAGTACTTACAAAGAATTTAAAATATCCAGTCGTGGTATCGCGAGAGTTCGGCCGTCCCTGATTTTGGCTGCCCGCGTTTCGCTGTATCCCCGCTAGGAACGGCCTGTCCACTCTTACTATTTTTATTTGCTGTAGAACAGAAAACGAGAACCAGTGCTATAAAAGCTTTAAAGATAGGTGTTTCGAATTTTCGGCAAACAAGGAGTAAACATTAAATTGGAACTTTTAAAGTCAGCGAAAATCAACAATTTCAGGGGGAAAAAAATTATAGTTTTGTAATATTGCCAACAGATGGCAACACCAAATAGTGGAAATGAATTTTGCAAAGCGCACCCAAGGACCGCATGACTGGTCGTGATCCAAACGGATTTATATAATCTTGTACCAGGAAACAAATGAGTTCTATTATGTTTCTTTATAATTATTAACTTAAATGCATGTTTGTCTGAAATGCATTATATCAATTGAAAACTAGAACTACATAAAATGAGTAAGCTATAGTTTCTAAAATAGTGTGTTAAATGAAAAAAATCATATTGTTTATTATGGATTGAAATAAGAGCATTTCCGATATTCATTGCAATTTTTGGGATTAAATAAATACTTTCATTGATTATAGTTGAAATTCTTATTTTAAAAAACCTCTCTTAAACTACACGTTACTCTGGAAATGAAATCATGTGTAATTTGTTGCGTAGTTGTTAATTTCATACTAGCTTTCCGTAACATAAAGAGTGGGAGTACGATTTTGTACCATTTTTAATTTTCTTAACTGACGCGACAAAAGTAAATTATCTATATGTTACTTACAATTTTTATATTTGTTACAATCAACTGAAAGTACACAAATTTATTACGTGTAATTTTGCATGCAGTAATTGTTAGTAATCGTTTCTCAGTGATTCAGCGAAAAGCAAATAATTTTGTTGAAAAATGACCTTTTAGAAGAGCAAGAAGCGTATCGTTCACTTTTAAATTGAAGCGTCTCTTATTAATATTTCATCAAATATGTAGGAGGTAATATTTTTTATAACATGTAATTTACGATATTAGCTCAAAACTGAGCTTTTTTTTCTTTCGATATACGTATGTAATGAGTTTACTAGAAATAAAAATCCAATTAAAATGATTTAAATAAATGCTTACAAAACAATTCCGTTTTATAATTTCCTGCGTGTAGCACATATAGTATAAATTTCAGATATGACTTTTTTTTTTTTAACTAAAAAATATTTTTATGAGTTTTGAGACTGTGCGTTTGATGAGTCTGTTAACATTCTTACTAGTGTTAATATAGGAATGACAGACACGCATCATTATAAATCATTATAATAGTAGTAGCTAATCTTTATGATTGATGTTTATAAAAATCTAAAATAATTGAGACACGGTATATAAAAACCTGAATAAAACGAGATTTGATAGGACCTGTTGTCATGGCTTCGAGAAATTAGTATCATTTAATTGCGGACGAATAGAGTGTGACGTGTCCATCTCTTGTAAAAATCAAAATTATCACTCGTAATTTTTCTAAAATTATTATAATATTCAGAAACAAAAAGAATCTAGACATTAGCTAGTTATTAATTTTAACTTTTCGATATAAATTATTTAAAGATTTTATGCTTTCTGATATCAGCGTTTTAACCTTTCTAATGGGAAACCTCTTGTCCCGAAACGGTAAAGTTCTAGATATGACTATAAAATATATTATGCCCATTATGATTCCGAAATGCCGATTCGTGCTTGAACTGTTTTCTTCGTATTGTGCTGTATTCATAGTTTGGGAGTCTAAAAAGAGGCACATATATGTGCTTCCATAAGGACTTAATGGTGGAAGTAATATAGGGCTGGATGGTGTAATGATTTTAAGGTGAAGGAAAAAAAGTATCGTGATCTTTGATTTCATATTAATTGAATGATTATCGCTTATTCATTCGTTTATCTCTATTTTAAATGTTATGCCTATCCAAGTACTTAAGAAAGCGTAGTTAATCGGGGAACATACATGTAAATATTCCAGCTTCGTTTTCGCAACAATAGAGAGATTACGGGCAAAATGTTGGGTACAGTATATTCTTGACAAACGTGGACTTGCGGATTGCGATTTTGCGTATACGCATTATCTTAAATGTCTCCACTTAGATAATCTTCTTGATGACTGGAAGTCCATTAGATTTAAGCATTGCTTAGAACATAAAAACCTGAGGTTTAAAGTTATTCTAATTCTAATAATGCTCCAGAACATGATGCTGAAGCCCTCGCAAAATTGCAACCAAAAGCAGAAGTTTTATTCCTTTCACCGAATACCACTTCCTAAATCCAGCCAATGGATTAGCGAATCATAAAAGCATTCAAAGCATTGTCAGATACGTTTGCATCTCTGCAAATAAAGCACTGGACGAAGGAAAGCACGACACTCTAATGGAATATCGGAAGCAATTTGACATAAGTCATTGCATAGAATTGATTAAACTAGCATAGGAACAGGTGAACAAGTATAAAAAATGAATGCTTGCTGGCATCAACTCTGTCAAGAAGTGGTCATCAATGAACATTCTATCGATTGAAAATGATGCCAAAGAAATCGTAAAAATTGCAGAAATATCAGTGAAAGATTTTTCTGATTTAGAAGGAGGAGAAAATCAATTGGTCGACAATGACGATCCTGAAATGAGGAATGAAGAATTCGCTGATCTCTAACAGTATGCATCTTAATACTAGCTGACGATGAAAGCAGCGATAGTGAAGAAGATAAAGAGCATTTAACGTACAAGACGTTAAACAAATTGTTAACAAAGGTACAGAAACTGTCTGATTTTGTAATGGAAATTGACCCTAATGAAGAAAGAAAAGAATACTCAACTTTGGAAACTTTGCACTATAAAAAAAAAAAAAAAAACTTTGCACTACTAGCCGCAAAATGTTTAATATGCTTCCTCAAACATTTTCCCAAACAAAATTCACCAACTATTTAAAAAAGGAATTGTCTCATAGATCTACTCCTTAAGCAGTAATTGAAATAAATTCTTTCGACTATTATGTTAGTTTCATTTTTTTTCTTTTTAATTGCAATAATACTTTGGTTTGTATAAATTATACATATACTTTCTTAAGCTGAACTATATTTAATCCGTTTTTTTTCCACAAAATTTAACTTCGCGCAATGCGATTTTGCCGTACGTACAATGTGTTAAATGGCGTAACTCCTGACTCCGGTAAGCTTTACTGTATTGAGCTCGAGTCCATTCTCCCAGATCTTTAATTACGAACACATTTTTCAACAGGCGTATATCCGAAATCAGTTTACCTTTCTGTACAAGTTTTTATATATGCACCTAATATATTTTGCACAGTTTTTGAAAATTCTTCATCTTTCATTAAAGGCCACCACTTCTGGTTATATAACAGCGCCGAAGACAGAGTAGCTGCTGGTTATCCGAAAAATATATCTTCTGAATTCAGAGCCATACCTGGTAGTTCTTTTCCGAACATTCCCGGAAATCTGGATAGCGTCTTTTTCGACAAGCGGGATGGAAATTTATACTTCTTCAAAGGAAATCAAGTAAGCATTGAAACACAGGAAGATCAGTATTGAATTTTAGAATACTGATTTTTATTTAGCATGCAATTTTTTTTTTTTTATTTATGAGCAAAAATGGAGTCGCATTTATTTGTTTATTTTCTAAGTTATCTCTAAAATATGAAGCAGATAATTCAAAAACGGAATGCAAATGAGATATTATTCTCATTTTGCAGCTATGTGGCTTTCTGAAGATTGACTAATGTTGTTTCTCAATAATTGCCTTACCTTTTGGCAAATCATCAGTCACATTTTTAAAGGACTTCCACGAATTATATGAAGTCTTATTCAAGATATGCTCATGAGGAATACTTGTCATTGTTTTCCTCATTGGAAGATCAACAAAGATGCCTTAATTTTACTTTACTAATTTTGATGTTTCGAAAACGAAAACCCTTTCTCTCGCTCTCTCTCTCTACATATATATATTCATTACCTTCGCAACTAATTTTATTAAATGTAGTGTCGTGCGAGATGTGATAAGTACTTCTGTTGTAGAGGTATACTAAAAATTGATAAACTACATTTTGAAATTTTGAAATCCAAGCACCTGTTTAGATTAGAAAATTGTTTTATAGAATGTTTCTTGTTTTTACTATTACATTCCAATAAAAGAAGTAGTACTTTATGTATACAACTTGCAGGCTAAATGAGTAGAACTTTTGCTATCAGCTTTTCATAAACATTCCATGAGTATTTCTCATAACTTATAATACTTAGCTATGACTTCGCATTCTCTTAGTATAGGCTGACTTCTGTATTCCCATAATAAAACAAGACTGCTTTAGACTTTGTTTGCAAGGAACATCGTCAATGTTTCAGGATTGCATTTTCGTGCTCTTAAATTTAAAGAAACCCAAACGGATTTGAGATAATACATGTTGAGGTTGAGAAACACAAGCAGATTTTCGTCTGACTTAATTTAATAGAGCTAGTGCAAAATTCCTCAAAAGAATTATGTCCGATACGGAAACTTAATTGCATAATCGAAATCAGCACAAAATACGCAAGAACCAATTAAAAGCTGTTTTCTTCAATAAAACTATGTTTCATTGGTGATATTGGTGTCGGATCGTTTTCATCCTATCTCATGATGTCTTACATAAAATTTGAATAGCATCATCGCATAACTTGATATTTAGCCATCCAATGTGTATATTTGTTTTCTCTCCTTCCACTTAACCTCAAATAATCTGTTTTTCTTTCAGATTTATGCATACGACGTATCAAGAGGAAATGAAGGTTGCTGCTTGCCTGGATATCCAAAGCATTTGCATCAAGAATTTCCAAGTGTTCATAAGGAATCCAGCTTACCATCGTATTTGGATGCTGTATACTACTCCTACACGGACCGATCCATGTACTTTTTTAAAGGCATCTACTACTGGCACAACGTAGCTTTTAATCCTTTGGACCGGAGGCGGACGAATAAGATCAGAGGACCTTGTCTTATTTCATCCAAGTGGTATGATATATGCGACGTGGAGGCTTGATTGGATATCTAAGTTGCTCTTGTCAGTAAAATACACTTTAGGAATATGTTGGAATTCTAAGCTGGCTTAGATGTAGATAAATTAGTTAAAGCACAGTCACTTTGAAGTTATCTGATTCCAGATTACCCAGTTAAAATCTTTTCAAATGGTACCCACTTGAAGATAAACCATTTTTAGAACTGTTACCCAGTATGAAAAGATTTTCATTTATTTCTGGCTAGCGTCTTAGGTACAATCTTCTCAGATATTAAGTATGTGACTGAAAAGGATTATGTAGTGTTCGAACTCACACCTTCCAGCTTATCATGGAAGCTAGACAGTGGAGCTTAGTTGAATGCACGAAATTTAATTTTCGAGTTTCTTCCGTGCATTCTGTACGTAATGTCTAATTTACTAGAATTTTGGAATTCGTATTGAAAACAAGTAATACTACAAGCAAACTAGTAAGCAGAGTCTTGATGTCTGAACATTTGACATTCAGAGTGAAATTAAAAGAGAATAAGTCTTGAAGGTAGAACTATAGATTCTGTAGATTTTTTCGATTTGGTGGAGATTAATTCTGCTATTATTTGGAACGCTGAAATTTGTGACTGTGATTTTTAGATTCAAAGATATTATCACTCACCCCGTATATGTACATTTTTAGTTTTTCCTCCCGTATTTTTGAACGCAGTCCTTTGGGCGAAGATTTACATGACGGTGATTTGTACTGTTGATATTTAATTTTTTGTGATTTAATTTTGTGACTTGTATATATATATATATGTATGACGAAACTTAACACAGTGGAAAAAAATTTGTGTATTGTTTTTTATACTTAGTTTTGTATAGTTGTACACTTAATTTGTTTAGTCTTCTAAAGTAAACAGCAGTTTTTTAAGAGCTAATATGAATATTTTTGAATATTATATTTAGATTTAATTTACTTCCTCTGAGCACTCTCATAATCGACTCTTAATACTGTTATTTCAGATATCCTAAACGCGAGATTTTACAGTTACTATCTAGTTTCATGTCAAAAACATTATCTGCTTATGTTAAATGGAAACCCTTTTAATTCATAATACGTTTTAGAATTAAAATGCATCTCTTTTATTATTGTGTTTTTGGTTTTAGTTTAATTTTGCTAAATGTAAAATTACATCAGTTTTAGCGCATTTCTTGACTGGTTTAACAATTAAGTGTTTTTTAAAAATAAATTTGTGTTTCATTTCGAATTAAGAAATATTAATAATGACCTATGTACTTTTGCACAATTTTATTTTTAGTCAAACTTTCCAGTCTTTAACTCTTTTTTTTTTAATTTTTAAAATATTCAGTTGGCTAAAAAATATTATTTCACTGGAATTAGTATGGACAGTTGGCTGAATTCAGTATACCTACTCAAGTGTTTTGCCATAAGTTGGGTAGATATTCATCACGAAACGATTTAAACTACCACTTTGAACTATTAAAGTGAATGGAAATACAGATTTGTGATGCATATTCGTATTGATAATGCATAATTAAGCTGTCACCATGTACTTAAATCACAAATCTGTATTTTTGTCTGAAATGTATTTTTTTTTTGTTTAGTAATAAACCAACATTATTGATTACAAATACACCCTATTAGTAATCGTCTTTGAAACGGGCGCAATTCAAATTCATTTCACGAAACAAAGTTGATATTACATTAAAATTAACAGAGGAATGTTCACTTTCAAGATATTTGTGCACGGTATTCGAAAACGTTGACCACAGGTTTTATTTAATTTGATACTAGATATGTGTTTCCACTTGCAAAGTTTCTCAAAATAAGGCAGACGACTTAAAGAAAATAAGTTTACTGTAGTTAAAATAGTTTTAAAAATACAAACTTTAACATTCTATACTGTCACCATAGAGCAAAATGACCAGTTAGTTAAATATTCATTATATGTTAATAATATAAATATAAAAAATTCATATTTTTATGTGGATATTCATATTTAGTGTAAAACTCATATTTATCCTTGGAAATATTACAAATGATTGTTGTATAACTTAAGTGATTGTTGTATAACTTAATTTAAGTTAATGAGTTGTGATAACTTAAGTCAATTTCCAAAGCATAATTTTGATCAAAATCGAATTTTCTCTAACATTATACACAAATAATATCTAAATACTGAAAAATAGTTACATCTGAACCATAAAGGAATTAAATTTGTTTTCTAAGAATCGTCCTACTATAGTTTTGAAATTGTTCTTTAAAAATTCTCCACCTTCCCAGGCGACTTAGTTCCGAAAGTAAACTTACATGGTTTAGTATATAAACGTATTATTGTGTTTATCCACCAAGATTATATGCAAATATATTTTCGGATTTATATCAGATTAGTTATTGATTAACCCACTGAACAAAATATAATGTTTTATTACAAACCTAGTGCAAAAGAAAACGAAAGCAATAACAAATTCCATTATTTCACATCTACAAAGTTATTACATAGAAAACAAAGACATACCCTTTAGATACGCAATACACTGTGTAAAAAGTGTACAGTAGAAACGTTGTACATGAGAAAATTAAATATAATGAATTAAATATGCACGAAATAAAATCGAGAAGTTACTTTACCAGAAAAAAAAGGGGAGGGGAGAATAAGAAAGAAAGAAAAGGCGAGCTAATGCTCAACTGCAATCAGGTCAGAAGGTAGCAGTACGATTTCTGTACCTTAAATAAAACAAATAGTATACTTCTAATATTGTTAAAATGACAGTTTCTTCCGTAGTAAAAATAATATCAATAGTGCATTAATTATAATAGCTTCTAATATTATTTCAACGTATCAGAAATATCGAATAATCGGAATTTGGAAATTCTGACTTTACTGTGTTTTTTTGTAACTTAACAATAGTTTAATGCAATGTAACGGCAACGAGGTAGTAGCCTTCATTCAAATGCACAACAATAGCAGAATGGTTAAGATAGCAAAACTTTAACAGTTCTTTCAGGACTTGACTTCCGTAGCTGCCTATGTTAACTATATAGTGGGACTTTTGTTATTAATCCTATGTTGTGTGTATTATAGGTTTCAGCTTCCTTCAAAGAGGCCTCCTGTAGAAGGTATTTTTCTTTCAAGTGCTTTACTATAATTAATTAATCTAAAATATTTAAAACTTTATCTCCAATAAACTGAAAAGAGAAATATTTGTTCTCTTTTCTTAAATGTTTTTCTGTAACTATTTATTCTAAAATGTTTAAGACTCTATCTCCAATAAACTGACAGTAATAAACTGAGTAAAGAAAGAATTAATTTTCCTTTCTTTTAAATGCTTGCTTGTAATGAGGTTCTGTAGTAACTTGCGGGTAATCAGATTAAAATAAACTTAATGTTCTGCCATCAAACAAGAGTACATCAAGTGAGTCACGAGATACCCTGAAATTTCCTTAAGGCAACTGTATCAACCAAATCTCTATTGAATACTTCAAAAAGTAATAAATTTAAAACGAGGTTATGTCACAGTTTATTCAATTTCCATTATGAAATTTCTTATGAAATTACAAATTAGTTTTATTTACAGAATGAAATTTTTCAAATTGTATTAAACGTTAATTCAAATTGTTCAGCACCAAACTGTGAAATTCCTTTCAATTAATATTATTTAAAATTAGGCAAAACAACAATCTTATTTTTGCGTAGATTTTAGAACTGATAGCTAAAACCTCTATCGATTTCAAATACCATCAGATACAGGTCCCTTTCATTTAGGAGCAAAAATATTTTATGCTTTTGAAGAAGACACTTACGCCCTTGTACTCGATAGTTTAAAATCTACGCCAACATAAGGTTGCTATTTTGACTAATTTTAAGTTTTAAATTGGCATGTTTTCTTTTATTTAATATTATAATATTATGGAAATTATTCTGCAATTTGAATTAATAGAAGGAAGATTTTATAAAACAGAAAATTTATATTTAAAAATGCATCATTATAAAAGTTGTTAGCATTCGTATTCAACAATTATATGTAAATAATTCAACAATTATATGTAAATAATTCAACAATTAAATGTAACTAAACAATTATATGTAAAATATTATACAGCCTGTTTCAAATGCTATATTGCAAGTCTAAATATCTCAGAAATAAATGGTCGTAGTCCAAAGAGTCTAGTTTAAGAACTAAATAAAATAAAGTTGGCTTTCAGATTACAACACTGTTGGTTCCATGATATATTTAAAAGTTAAAGCTTTTAACTTTGTTTAAGGTTTTATATATTTTTAGTAAAAGCTATCATGGGATTAAATTTTCGGTAATCAAACCGTCCATCGTATTTGATACATTTCTTACACTAGAGCTATAGATTTACAAACAAGCGTTAAAAATGTAGAAAAAATTCAATGTTTTACCTGCTATTTTCTATGTTTAGTGTGTTAAATTTATGTTAATCTGAAGTTCGATAGCATATGAATGAAATAAAACTACAGTAAGTGTTTATTTATGTTCTGGTAAAATAAGATTTAAAAAAAAAAGGAAATTAAATTTATTCAACAAATCAAAGAAAATTACGAAATTTATGCAGGAAATGTTACAATAAAAAATAGAACATTTCGATGAAAATGGATAGAGATTATAGTAAAGTTAAATAAATATGTAAAAACGTTCGTTAGAATCCATTCAAAACGAATGCTTATCCTTCCTTCTCTAAAGACATTTTAGAGAACGCACATATGATGAAAATGTTTTTATAATCTTCTATTTAATTGCTGTCGAATAGTAATTGTAATTGTAAATAATAATTGTAATAATAATTGTGAATAATAATTGTAAAAAATATCACTCCGCATGGGGTACATACAACCATTTTATTTATCAAAGAATTTGATTTGGATTGCACATTCATATTCGCCTTCCTGCTTTCAATGACCCGGAGAAGATACGCTAGCCAGCAGCTGTTCTTGCAACTCTTAACTAGAAGTTATAAATGCACTTATGACATCATAAAGTTTTAAAAATTTTTATATTAAACATTTATTTGCCCGTGTGTTCGAATTAGGATTATTCATTAAAAAAACTATTCAAGTTATTTATTTTTCAGATTTCATGTAACAATTCAGTTTAGTTATACAATAATTTATAAATCATTATTTGTTATAAGTTGTCTTAGTGGGCTTTTTCTAATTTTTTCAAATTTTTTTGTGAGGAAGGTAAAAATTAAAAATAAAGAATTCAGTTTTAAAATTCAAAACAATTGTTGCGTAGTTTTACTTCTATATTTATGAATGAACAGCGTGGCTTAAATACGTACTTGGCCAGAAATAATATCTCAGAATCTATTTCCTCATCAGAATTCTAAGTAGTTAGTAACAGAATGAAAAATATGAAATTATTCCTAAAACTCTTAATTTTATATTAATTCGTAAGGGTGAACGGCGAACAACAATTAGTTTCACTAAAGGTTCAGAAAAATTTAGTTCAGAAATAGAAAAGTAGAATAGCCGAGAATTAGAAGATAGAATAGTCGGGAAAATGTTTCAAAATCAGACAAACAAAACTAATTTCAGTTTAAAATTTTCACTAAGCGAGGCTATCATTTCAATGCGATTTAGCTTTAGTTGTTCTCAAAGAAATTATACAAATTTATTAACAGTTACGAAAATCATGTGCTTGGAACAGTTCCAACGATATGGAAAGCATTCGTTTTGGGCTTCTTAGCATCACAATATGAGATGAAGACAGAATCATTAATCTTTAAGTTCTCCTTGCAATTGCAGATCGTACAAATATTCTCCTAGGGCGTGTTCTGACATGGACCCCAGTACGGAAGCATGTCGAATAAATTGGTCTATGGATTCAATTTGTTCATCAAAATACTCTCGTTCCAAGAAATCCGTCAACTAAAAGAACAAATAAATTAAATTTCAATTAATTATTAAGTTCAATGAAACTTCACCAATAAATGTGTATTTTTTAATAACAGCAATCATTAAGTTGTTAGCAATCAGAGCTGATAGGTTAGAACATAAATCTATTTTTAGGTCAATAAATAGATTGGAGAGAGCTTTGTAATTGCAAGAGACTGAACAACGGTTTCCTTTCTTGAGGAATCATTTTTAACACTCTTGCTAAATGCCACCAAAGTTTTGAAGAATTTAGTTTTAATATTTACTAATCAGTCTTATAATTTTTCACTTCTGAGATACTCCAGACAATATGCAAATTTAGCATTAATTTATGACAGGTGACAGCGTGTCCGGACACCCGGACGGCTTCCAAGGACTATTCGGGAATGGTCCGGAATCCGCAAATAGGCAACTCCGCGGAGCCCCAGGAGCGCAGCATCGAAAGTTTAATACAAATTTTGACTGTATACGGTCACACAGGGAGAAGGTATAAGACAACAGATTCGTACAAGATACAAGATGCTGTTACACTGATATTTGAGACGTATTCACTGATAATTAGACATTTGACTCTGAGACACATAAATTACTCACTATTACTCACTATAAACGCATTTATTAACATAAACTGCCCTAGTGCGTTTTGTGCGCATATAGGTTTAGACACTTAGAATACTCTAATACAAAACATATATTTTACATTGGTGTATACATCATTGTATATACATAATCATATTACAGATTTTTAGAATAACATTTAAACGTTTTATACTGAATTTACTAATATATATATAAAAAAAACTGCCCTGGTGTATAAACATATATTTGCCTTTTATCAGCAGCTAGGTTTAGACATTGGCGATACTTATATGAAAAGGTCTGTTTGGAACTGTTGCTTATATTGCTGTGTAAACATAAGCATTTATACTGATTTCACGCTGTGACGCACACAAGTTCTACACTGATGCGCATATATCAACAAAAATTGCCGTTGTGCATTTTAGGGCACATGAGTTTAGACACTGAAGATACACTGATATATACACAGCATATATATAAACATTTTACCCTGATTTTTAAACATTTTATGCTGATTTTACTCTGATATATGTACAAATCGTATGCTGGTTTAAACATAAATTATCTTGAATGCATTTCTTGCTCACGTATAGCTTTAGACATTAAGGATGCATTTATACAAAAACTTCTGTTTTACAGTTGTTGTGTATACATGAATATTTTGCATTGATATTTTAAGCTGCTATATAAAAATTTTATACTGATTTTACTCCGAGGCACACACAAATTCTACACTGTAGCGCATATATTAACAAGAATTGCTCTGTCGCATTTCATGTGGACATAGGTTTAGACACTGAGGATACACTGATACAATAATTATACACTGATGCGTACACTGCAGATTTTACATAAATATTATACACTAATCATTAAACACAATGATGTTATTGTGATACGCATACAGATTCTACTCTGGTGCGCATATTATAAAGTACTCTGGAGCGTTTTATAAGCACGTATGTTTAAACACTGAGGATACACCGATACGATATAACGTCTATTTTACCCTGATGTGTAAGTTGTTGCATTTACATATTTTACACTGATATTTTTCACTATCATTCAAACATTTTACACTGATTTTGCTGTTACATATATAAATTCTATGTTATAAACATAAATTAACCTAGTGTATTTTATGTCCACATAGCTTAAGATATTGACGATACAATAATACGAAAACTTGTATTTTATTCTGATGCGAACTGTGATACTTCTTTGGCGAAATGAAGCAACTCCAATGATGGAACAGAGCAATAACTTTTATTTAACACTAAAAAAAATGGCGACATACAAACAGGAACTAAATCTCCTCTAGCAAATTCTCTTTTCACTGCGTTTCGATCGTACCATGTTTTCCTCCGTTGTTGAGCTTCTTTCATGTTTTCCACGGCAAGTTCTTGGCATTTCTTCATTCGACTAATAAGTTCGAAAACGTAACTGACAACATTATTACTTTCTTCAATCGGTTCTAGCCACTGCTCATAAAGTAAAGTGACTGGCGTTCGTAGGTTTTTGCCATGAACTAATTCTGCTGGTGTACAACCAGTGCTTTCGTGTGTGACTGTTCTGAGAGCAAAAAGAATTGATGGTAGATAATTCTCCCAATCCGAAGTTCGCTCCTATACATACGACTCTTAACACCCTTTTTAGCGTTTCTATGGAATTTCGCTCAACGGGATTACTCTGCGGATGATACACAGAGCTTCTTACATGTTTAATGCCGAAACGCTCCAAAAATTCCTCTGTCAAAGCACTGACGAAAGAGTTTGGTCCCCTGATCTGTTTGGATTACTTTTGGGAAACCCATACGACTGAAAATCTGTAAGAAAGCATCAATCAGACAGAACATCTGTTGGCTGAAGAAATGAATTACATCTGTCACCGCTACAGCATCTGGATATTTGGACGACATACACAGAGCTGTAATAATATATTTTTTTCCAGTCTTCGAAATAGGTAGCGGACCAACGGCATCGTCGACATTTATTTTAGTGAATATTTCGGAAATTACTGGTACTAATGTCATTGGAGCCTTCTTTTTGTCATTTCCTTTTCCAGCGCGCTGACAAGCATCACAGGTTCTTGCAAAATCTTCAGTTTTCTTTGTAACACCTCGTCCAGTAAAAATATCTAGCAAGTCTGTCTTTGGTCTTTTTGACACCCAAATGACCAGAAGTTCCTTCGTGGCACATCTTTATAATTGACGGCTTGAGTTTTTTCAGGTATAACGACAAGCTGTCTTTCAAAGCCCATTTTATATCCGTCGTTTTTTTTTAACTAAAAGTTCTTTTCCTGTCAGACTATAGTTCTCATTTTTGCATGTACCTTCTCTTAACTTCTTGGATGATTTTAGACAGTTCCTTATCAGCAAGCTGAAGTTGTGCAACTTCTTTCTGAGTCAATTTTTACCAGTTTCCATGAGAGCTTCATCTTCCGTATTTAAGTTCCGGTAAATTTGATCTTCTTCTTCAAAAACATCTCTGGATGCTTTATTTTCTTTCCTTCATCGGTTCCAAGAGCTTCCCTTCACCGCTTCAGCTATTTCTCTTTTCCTTTGAGCTCTAGTAGAGACAGGCATTAACCTGGTGAGGACAACTATCAGGCTCCTTTCCTTGTTTCCTTCAACAGTGCACAAAGTTCGATTGCCTAACAAATACCTTCCTTTGTCGAGTTCATTTCTAATAATGGCAAGCCTTAGTTATTACTCGCCCAAGATCGCAATTTAGTTCGATCTCAGACAATGGTAAACAGGTTGGATTTCAAGTCTAATGGCTGTTGCACCCCACACATTTTCACCTGTCAGCATTTTCCGGCGTGATGTATTTGCGACAAACTATATCAATACTAGAAACCTGAATCCCTTAATATAGGAATTTTATGACCATTTACGTAACCCATACTAGTATAAGGTAATAGAAATTTATCCTCTGGTTTTGCACTAATTCTGTTAAGATTAGCAGGAGATTCAGTACTATTCTTAAGTTTTGGACATTGGGGCCTTAAATGTTGATAGAACCCCACACTGATAGCATTGTGGCGTCTTTCGTTTTTCATATTTATCATCTGGACGTGGACTTCTAGGTCTATGAAACAAGCTTTGCGTATTAAATCCTGATGACATTTTGTTTTCAGTTTTTATTTTTATTATCTGAACTCAATTTACCTTGAGTTAGTGCATTGTATCTTTCTTTCTGCCTATCCACTACAGGCTTTTTTTTAAAGTTTCCGCAAACGTTTTTCATAGGCATCAAGTTTTTCAGCTAATTTTTTTTTAGATGAAATCATCTCTACCCACTCATCAAGAAAATGATCTCGAATTTCAGGAGGAACTCGACGCTTAAGTTGGTCAATTACCATCAAATCTAGCAACTGATCAAAAGTCTTAACTCCTAGACCAGTCACCCATTCCTTGCAATAATTTTTCTATTTCAATAATTGAAATCCACCCATGTGGATTCGGTACTCTTTTGATGTTTCATAAATTTTCTGCCTAAACTTTTCCGGGCTTAGTTTAAAAAACCGTCTTAACAATAAATTCTTCACGTGTTCATAGTCTTTAGCTTTATCGGAGGGTTCTCTAGCTATTAACTGGGTTACTTCGTAAGGAAGTAGTCCTAGTAAATGAGATACAAATTCTTCTTTATCATTTTAGCCCATTCTGCTTGCCTTTCAAACAACAGCAAATATAGACTGATATCTCCTTTCTTGTCATCGAATTTCTGCATAAGGTGACGCAGCTCCGTTTTCGGCCGGATCTGTCCGGTATTTTGAGACTTTGTCTCTGCTTCAAGTCTTAATCTCTCTAATTCATACTGTTCTTTTCTTCTCCGCTCTTCCGCTTCTTCCTGTCTCCTACGTTCTTCTCTTTCCCTTTCCTCCCTCTCTTTCCGTTCTTCTCTTTCCCTTTCCTCCCTCTCTTTACGTTCTTCTCTTTTCTCCCTCTCTTTCCGTTCTTCCCTTTCCTCCCTCACTTTCCGTTCTTCTATTATTGTGTCTAAGACTCCTTTGACGAATACTTCATCATAATCTCTACTTTCAACAATTTTCTGTTTTAAATCGACTATTTTCAAATCTGCAGTCACATGAACTCCCAGTTCAGCCGCGAGATTTTGCAAATCTTCCTTACGAGCTCTTCCTAAGTAAGGCATTGTTTCTATGTTTAAAATTAACGAACACTGTTTTCTTTATATTTCCTCAAAATAGCTCAATTCAATTACTTATTTAATTAATGCAGTCAGGAATCACGAAATTAAATGCACTTTGTTAAGTACGCATACCTCAAAAATGAAATATTTAAATTATATGAAGTTCATTCTCTCTACCACATTAATTGTGATTAAAATAAGAATAATAACATAGAGCAATATATATATCTACCGTCTGCACAACTAAAATGAATATTAAATATAATATCAAATACGGTAATAAAATAAGACAATTTAATATTAACAGGAAATAATAAACTGGTATCGCTAATATTGCGTTCAGTGATGAACTAATAAAATAAAGCAATTCTATATGAACAGGAAGTAATAATATGGTATCACTAACATTATGTTCAGTGATGAACTAATAAAATAAAAATACGCACGATTATTCGATCTGGTCGGTGCCTCCAAAATAATTAAGACTGTGATACTTCTTTGGCGAAATGAAGCAACTCCAATGATGGAACAGAGCAATAACTTTTATTTAATTTTAAAAAAAATGGCGACATACAAACAAGAACTAAATCTCCTCTAGCAAATTCTCTTTTCACTGCGTTTCGATCGTACCATGTTTTCCTCCGTTGTTGAGCTTCTTTCATGTTTTCCACGGCAAGTTCTTGGCATTTCTTCATTCGACTAATAAGTTCGAAAACGTAACTGACAACATTATTACTTTCTTCAATCGGTTCTAGCCACTGCTCATAAAGTAAAGTGACTGGCGTTCGTAGGTTTTTGCCATGACTAATTCTGCTGGTGTACAACCAGTGCTTCGTGTGTGACTGTTCTGAGAGCAAAAAGAACTGATGGTAGATAATTCTCCCAATCCGAAGTCGCCTCCTATACATACGACTCTTAACACCCTTTTTAGCGTTCTATGGAATCGCTCAACGGGATTACTCTGCGGATGATACACAGAGCTTCTTACATGTTTAATGCCGAAACGCTCCAAAAATTCCTCTGTCAAAGCACTGACGAAAGAGGTCCCCTGATCTGTTTGGATTACTTTTGGGAAACCCATACGACTGAAAATCTGTAAGAAAGCATCAATCACAGATGGCGAAGAAATGTCTGTCACCGCTACAGCATCTGGATATTTGGACGACATACACAGAGCTGTAATAATATAATTTTTTTCCAGTCTTCGAAATAGGTAGCGGACCAACGGCATCGCCATTTTTTTTAGTGTTAAATAAAATTTATTGCTGTGTTCATCATTGGAGTTGCTTCATTTCGCCAAAGAAGCATCACAGTACACTGCTGCGTATATCTAAACATTTTACACTGATATTTAAACAAATTGCACTGATTTTACTCTGTTACACGTATAAATTCTACACTGCTGCGTATATCTATAAACAGAAACGACCCTGGTGTATTTTACGTCCAACTAGATTTTAGACGTTGAGAATATACTGTTACAATAACGTTTGATTTACACATGCGCATGTTGTTGGGTATATAAACATTTTACAACACTAAAAATTAAACATTTTGCACCAAGTATTCTGACTTACACGCTAGTTCAAAACTGATTACATGCACATAAATTACCCTTGCGCATTTTACATAATATAATTTCTCAGGATACGTTTGTTACTTTAGAGCATTCGTGTATATAGGGTTCCATTATGCACATACTAAATGAGACATGCCGCACAAGACCACTAGTAAAATACACTGGTTATCATAAATTAAGGAAAAATCACAAAAATAGCGATAACTCCTTCAAAAATAAGCCATACCGTGTAAAATTTGAATATGTTGCCAAGTAAGAGTAGCTGAGTAAAACTGCAATATGCAAATTAGTGGCGCTGCACTCAGAATACGTCATCTGCGAGGAGAATAAAAGTCCATGTTTAAGAGAAAACCCACATATTTCACTGTGATAGTGACATCAGAAATCTGAGATAGCTAATTCGTAACAATGACCTCCAGGCATCATTTGCCTGCAGAACTACGCCATTGGGAGACTAGAGGCAGTATAAAGTCAAACAGAAGTGGCCAGATGGCTAAACGTAAGCCCTTCTGTGGTTCATAGACTTTAAAGGCGATTTCAAACCACAGATTCGGCCTCTAGGAGGTTCAGCCAAGGACGGCCAACTGCTACGACGAGCGCCGATGACCGATATTTGACATTATGGTGCACGCAGGAATAGAACCGCTACTCCGACTCTTCTTAGATCCTCCCTTGCTGCAGCCACAGGAGGGTTGGTGTCAACGTCAACTGGGCGTAGAAGGCTTCACGAAGGTGGTCTGTATGCGAGACGACCAGCCATTTGCATGCCGCTCACGTCAGGCCATAGAAGGGACCAGTAGGCACGACAACATGTCCACTGGACGCTTGATCAGTGGAGGGCTGTTCTTTTTATGGATGAGTCCAGGTTTAGTCTAGTCTAGAAAGCGATAGTAGGCGTTATTTGATATGGAGAGAACCTGGAACCCGTCATCATCCGTCAAACATCCGTGAAAAAGATGCATACGAAAGAGGCAGTGTCCGTGTGTTTTTGGTGGCCTCTCTTTGGGTGGACGCACAGACCTCCATGTCTTTCCAACGGAAACCGTGAATGCTCCGATTTATAGAGATGACATCCTTGATGCTTATGTGCACCCATGTGCCAGGGAAATAGGTGATGCTTTCCTGTTACAGGACGATAACTCAAGACCACACAGGGCTCGCATCGTAAATGATTATCTTCAACAGGAAACAATTATGCGCATGGAGTGGCCAGTTCGATCCCGGGACTTGAATCCTATCGAACACGTTTGGAATGATTTATAGAGACGTCTAGATGCTCTCAGTCTGCCCCCTCAGACCCTTGCCGCGCTTGCAACAGCTTTGCAAGAGCAATGCTGCTCTTAGCTCCTATGGAACTGATAGACCGCATAATTGAAAACATCACGCATCACTGTATGTGCTGTATTGCTTCTAGAGGCGACCATATTCCCTATTGAAGGTACTTTTCCTCTTCGATTTGTTCATTTTATACATGTGCTAATTTCTATACTACCATAATTGTCTGGTAATTTATTTTTATGTTATTTGATACCTTACTATGTGTTGTATATTGTGGGTAAGTTTCATAAAATTCTACATGTAACTTTTTCAGTAATCGTGATTTTTGTGATTTTTCCTTATTTATGATAACCAGTGTACAATGAGACACCCAACAGCAAGACAGTATTGAAGCCTGGGCAGGTTTCTAGTCCACTATGACACGTGACGAAGTTTCCACATGACGAAGATTCGGTCCCATAGCCTGTAATTTGTGCACTATGAGCTCAAGTTTTCTGAGTAGAGCTGGCAGCTTACTGAAGGAGTGCATGATTGGTACGTAATGAACCGGTAGCTTCATGTGCCACGTCAAGAACACAGTTAACATCAAATTTTGCGCGAAATTAGGAAACAATTTCATCAAAATGAAAAATTGTGAGCAATTTATAGATCTAGGTTTGGTTTGAAAGAATTCACTTGTTTGTTTGTAGATTTGGTTTGGGTTTATTTTATTATGGCAAAGCCCTTGAGGGCTGTCGGCCCAAGGGAAGGGATGCCTTTGTAGAGGGTCTTTCTAAGGCGAATTGGCTCTAAAATACGTTACATATGGGGAAAATCCACCGTTACATATGAAGCCAGCCTGTTTGCGGGATTCAAACCTCGGACTGAACTATCAGTGTTCAGTGACTTTACTGCTCGGTCGCTGTTTTGTTTGTTTGATTATAGACTTGGTTTACAGCTTTAATGCAGAAGTTCATAAATTAGTAATTTAATGTTATTGAAAAAGAGTGTTGAGCTTACGTGACTGTCTTTACAGTGTGCTTCTGCTATATCGTGAATATGATTCAGTTGATTGTAGACTTCTTTCTCCAGCACGATGGCTTCGTTCAGGGCTTCCAGTGTATTGATCCAGGAAGTCTTGTCTGGCATCTGGGAAAAAAAAGAGCACGCCAATTCAATTAGCTAAGAATATTCAGTTCTTCAGTTTTAAGCTAAGAGTTTTTTAGAGTTTAAGCTAGAGTTTTTAGAGAGACAAGTTTTAAGAGTGTTAGAAGTATTAATTTCGCAAAGATATATTGACATATTCTTTCATGAATTTAACAAAATATTGAAAAGAATAATTACGATTCGTTATTCAAAGTTGCTGTCATCTTATAATATCAGTTGTATATAAATTTTGTCAAATAATAGCAGGCCTGCGTATGTGTCATTATTTAAAATATTGGCTTTAATATAAAACAATGTATTACATTTAAAACGCACTTCTCAAAAACTTCCCGTTTTACATAAACAATCTAGCTTTCACGAAATGTACTAAAAAACTAACTTATTTCTTTTATATTAAAAGCAGCTATTTAGTTTAACGTCAGTGTACTGAGATAATTTACTTTCATTTTGTAATAATTATAAAATGATGGTAATTCTTGTGTTAATAATAATTATCTTATAATAATTTTTTTCCTTGTATCAAACACATTAAAGAGACTACCATGTGCAAAAGCGATTTTTTTTTTTTTTTTTTTTCGAAAACGTCTTTCTTCTTTTATCGAATATTCAGGCGAAGAGAATATTTTTATTATGCATATGCATTTAATCGTTCACTGAAATTGCTTGCATGTCCTAGACATCACAAGTAAAAGATTATGTTATTATAGTTTCGCAGAAATATTAATAGGGTATAAAATATCGTTGGTAACTATGAAAAAAAAATGTAACTTTTTATTAAAAAAATTTGAAAGGTCTCAGATTTTATCGGTCGCTAAAAGATAGTTGGTTAAGTTTTTTCTATGCTGTCGCTGAGCTCGCGGTGTACTAGTCTGCTACCCAATTCTTTTTGTCGTTTTTGACTTTATTATTAAGCATAAATTTTTTCGCACTTACGGCATGTACAATTCAACATCAAAATTTAAAAGCGGCATGTGTTTAAAATTTCCGATAAAGTGTTAAGCGTTGGTATACATTTTTCTATTCTTTTAAATCCTTTTCTAAGTTTATCATATGAATGTACAGTTTTCTTAGTAAGATGGCTTGCAAAATTTTTTTAGCCCAAAGGAGCGTTATCCCAGAATGGCTCTTACTGGCGAAACGGGATTTTGCGTTGGATCGCTATAAAAGTCTGAATCACTTTTCGAATTGTTGCCACTAAATATTATCGCCTGCATTATATTTAAAGAAATTAAATAATGAAGAATCTGCATGAATGGATGTATGTTTTCACATTGTAAAAAAACGAACGGCACCTACAGCCATCAAATTTTGAATTACACAATCAAATTTTTTTACAGGCAGCCAAAATAGAGGGTGGTCTCCCCCCCCCTCTAAAAAAAGTCCTCGATATATGAACCCTTAGCTGCTTATCCGCTCAACCGATCGAAATGGAATTTCAGATATTGTTATTTGAAAGTATACTCTCGAGATTGTGATGATTTCAATTAACAGAGCTCTCACAATGACGATTACAGTGAAAACATTTCGAAATTTTCGAAAGGCAGCATCCACTTTTTTCTGCGCAAATGGATCAGCGCATTCAAAAAACCGTAAGTGGTATCGGAAAGGTATAAGTTTAACGAAAATTTTCGGCGTAAAACATTTGCAGAGAAGAGCATTGTAAAGGACCAGTGACAACAGGTAACGGAAAAAAGCTTTTATTGGAATTTCAAGTTTTAAACGTGTACAACATTTCAAAAGAGTCATCTCCCTGTAACTCTACAACTTCGTGGCCACCGCCATCCCCCTACCTCACGCCGAAGAATTTTTGGTTATAGGATTATCTGAAATCTAAGGTGTACACATCCAACTCATCAGATTTGTCAGAATTGTAAGATGACATAAAACGTGATGTTACACAGATTCCATCTGCGATGTTACGTTCACCATTCTTATCAACAATCTTCCACATGCCACTCGTTATCTTCTGCGAAGATGGGCACGTTGAAAACTTGTAGTTTGTAGTTAAAAGGTTTTTCCTCTTTTCTGTCTTGTCTTTTCATCGGTCTTCTACAATGCTGTTCTTTACAAATATATTAACGCGGGCAATTTTCATTTTACGTGTGTCGATCTAGCGCCATTTATGATTTCCAAATGCGCTGATCAATTTCCGCAGGAAAAAGCTGGGTGTTGCCTTTCGAAAATTTCGAAATGTGTTCACTATAATTGTAATCGTGAGAGCTCTGTTGTTTGAAATCATTACAATCTCGAGCGTATACCTTCAAATAACAATATCTGAAATTTCATTTCGATTGGTTGAGAGGATTGGCTACTAGGGGATCATGTATTGGGGAAGTTTTATTAATGTTTTTTTTTAATTCAAAAGAATCTGTCTTTACAAAGACAGCTTAATTGAATAAAGTAGTATTAATTGCAATATATTATCATTCAAAATATAACTGCCAATAAAATTCAGAATGCATACATACAATAGCTAATTTTTGAACAAGATTTATGAGTTTGAGAAGTAATATTCTTTCATATTTATATAGTCATATAACTCAAATTTGATCTGTATATTAAAAGCAGTTATAGACCTTTGCCTTTCTTAGTTTCCTGGCATAGGTAATATTTTTTAAGTTCGTATTTTGAATTATCTCACTATCTGTCAGGTTAACCTGAACTGAAAGTTCTTTAGAAAAGGCTAAAATTTACCTTTTCTAAAGAAGCACTTTGAGTCACAGCCATAGAAATTAGCTTATGCATTTCAATAAAATGCTTAAATCAAGAATTGCTGTTTTATCTCTTTTCCTCGTTTATATTACCAGACTGCAGATCAGCAGATACGTTAACGTACCTCGAAAAGATCATCAAGGAATCTTACAAATGCGTCAAATTCTGCAGATTGCACAATGTTTACTCTTGTAGCAGTTTTAACATTTTCGCATTGATGTAACTGTAGGATGGTTCCCTTTTCTGAACTAGTACAGGCATTGAATGAATCTATTTGTTATAATAGACATTCAGTGTTCGGTACAATAAACTTTATTTTCCTTCCGACAACTTAATTGTGTTAAATATGATAAGTGTTATAATATTTTGAGAAAATGTGTTAAGTATTTCTTTGTGTTGTGAAAATAAACAGTCAGAAATTTTGTTAAATACAGTTATATGAAAACCATAGAATGATATATCGCAGGAAATGAGAAAAATCAAGTTTTTATTTTCAAAGCAAATTTTAGTTAATTGTATTATATTGGCGGTCAATTTCTTAATTTAGAATACAGGCATATATTAACTTTTCGAAATCCAGAGTTTGATTACACCAAGTTTTTTCTTGCACAAAAAGGTTTTAAAAATGCGAATTTTCCTGTGGTAATATTCAACTCTCTGTAAACGGAATTCAGTTTACTTTTGGCCTTGAAAGGACTGGAGACTTATATGCAGTTCTATATGTTCTTGTCAATCATGTGTATGTTCAAGTTTCTCGTAACTACGTACATCTGTAGTAAAGAAGTCACTGAAGATAAATATTCTTAATTGTTAATTTGGCAAATTTTCTCTAATAATATCTATCTTGTATATTTTTATAAGATCTACTTGCTTTTCGTATCTTTTCACTTGTAATTAAAATCTGTAACCTCCAGGCATTATTTGCTCTTTCGATTTCTTTCGTCATGTTTTCAAGTCGAAGAGTCGAGCTTTCATTCGTTTAATTGTCCAGTACAAATTTTTTAAGAGATAATCTTTTTTTTCGTCTACCTCAACTATTAACATATAAACATAAAATGATATAATGAGAAAAATGCTGTCGTATGAAAAATTTATTTTACAAACCAGCTATCTGTTTTGCTCTAGCTTTTAAATTCGTAGTAAGTAGCACTGATCCCAAATTTCTCAAACGTTTCTAGTGCTGCCATCTAGTAACAATCTTTCAAAATTATAAATTGAGGTTATCAAAATAGGGGGGGGGGGGAGGAAGAGAATTACCATTCAAATATGAAACATCCACTCACAATAGCGCTTATGATGAAATACTTATGACCGAATATCATATGCACAGTATTTGCAAGAGTGGACCTGATTATTTAAGAATGATTTAATATCTCAACTATAACATATAATCATAAAATGATATAATGAGAAAAATGCTGTCTTATGAAAAATTTATTTTACAAACCAGCTATCTGTTTTATTCTAGCTTTTAAATTTGTAATTAGTAACAGTGTCCCAAATATTTCAAACGTTTTCGGTGCTGCCATCTAGTAACAATCTTTCAAAATAATAAATTAAGCTATCAAATAAGGGGAAAAAAGAGAATTAAAAATTAAAATATGAAACATCCATCAACAATACCGCTTATGATGCAATAAATTATGATTGAATATATGGCGCACAGTACTTTCCAGTGTGCACCTGATTATTTAAGAATGATTTAATATTCTTTGTATTTAGTTTTCCATACTCTGTTTGAAAAATTCAACTCTAAATCCTATTTTAAGTTCTACATTTGCATCTATTTTAGCGTTTATAATTTCCAAAATCTACAGAGGATGTTTACATATTTTTAAAAGATTTCGGGCCCTTTTAATTAGTGTTTTAAACCTAAAGGCTAATTTTTTAAATGTTCTATCTGATAACCTTTTTCTCCGCGAAAATTATGCATTGGGATTTCCATGATAAAACGGCTTTTCCTAAAATTTCCAAGTGTATATATTACCATTGCTCCTATTCCTTCCTTCCTCTCCAGTCCATCAATTGTAGTGCGTTTGCACTTAGCTCTTTTCAAGAGACCAAAAGCGCAATAATCTATAGGTGAAATAGCGTTCTGTGTTTTTCCACATGTGTAGGCAAAAGTTGTTGAACATTGCGTGTTCTAGCCTTTTTAAGTTGTAAATCTTGATTTATTATTTAATTGATATTTCTATAGATGTATCAAAAGACTTTGCTATTGATTTTTGCGTCGGCGGAGTTTTGTTATCAACGATTTAATTTTAGAAATAGTACGTACCTTTTCCGGGTATTCGGTTGAAGTCCATTTAAAGTAATGATTCCCTTTCCGATTAATGATGTTGCTGATTTTGAACTTAGAAATTTTAATACCATGCATTTGAGAACATGTTTTAATTATGGAATCGTAATATTTCTTTTCAGAAAGCGCAGAAACATCCGTCAACTCATATCTGGTTTACATCCGATATTTTGAAAGAAGAAAACATTTTAAAATAGTAGACGATATTTCTAATTTCAAATAATAAGCTACTGCCAGAAAAGTCTTATTTGAAAGCATTTGCTTTTTGGAATTCTTTACCAAAATCGTCCTAATAATGTGTAAACACTTTCTGTGCTTGTAATTCCAACGCTCTATTTGCTGTGTATAACAAGGTCTTTATTTCCACCATTTTCCTGCTGCTCATTGGCACGTAAAGCACCACTGTACAATTTACCTTCCATTTCTTCCTCGAACTGTACAGTTTACCTTCGCCACTGTACAAGTTTACTGTTCAATTCTGTCGATAATTCTCTCGCCATTTATCAGCGGAGGGCACTTGTTTCATATTTAACTGCCAGTAGCCAAGAGCATCTACATCTACAGGTTAAACATCTGTGTTTATACGTCTGATTAACCTATCATGGTCTACTATAAAATCTGAAAATTTTAAATCGTGGTTGAAGAGTTTCTCGCCTTCGATTCCAGTAATCAAATTCTAAAAAAAAGAGAAAATTAATAAAAAATAAAACATTAAAAATTGAAAAATTTAAAAGAAATTTCTTCTAATTTTGCAATCGGATTCCCGAAACAATTTTTATTGAACAATCACGACAGACTTATTAATTTAAGAGTTAATCTCATAGACAAATAACAGTAAAGTCTATTGATCCAGACCTCCAAATCTGCAGATTGAATACAGTAAGAACAAATCTCTTTCGAGATATTAAAGACGGGAGGACGTGTTGGAGACATAAAAATTAACGTTCAACTGCATTTTGAAACAGCTGAAATATATATGTTTTTTTAAATTACGTGATAAGTTGTTCGTCAGTTGAATACAGTAAGAGTTAATGAAAACTGTTTGGCTTTCTTCATTTTACAATGCTGCCATCTAGAGGGGAATTGCTAGAAGAAAAAGAGTCGAGCTTTTAAAAATACTCACTATTATTGTAAACAATTTTTTGAGAAATTGACTTACATCAACATTGAATTGTGTAAACTTGCTTCCCCGAAGGTTCAAATAATCGATGAATTTCTGTGCATGTTCTCTTTCTTCTTCCGAATTTTTTCTAAATAATTTGGCGAATCCTTTTCGTGCTATTCCATTCTGATCGAAGTGGGCTGCCTGGGAGAAAAATACAGTACATTTGCAGTTTCTAACAATTTATCATTTCTGAAAGTAAAATATTAATTTAAGAATATTCGTAAAATTTTATGTTGAGGTTTCTGCGATTAACATAAATGCCGCGTAAGTGGAAATATAAGACGATAATTCCTTTTATAAAATATCTTGCTAAAATCATTTTTATCGTAATGTGCAACCTAATATTTAAAAAGCATTATGTAAATTATGACTTATCGCCTAAATTTTACTTTAACATAGTTTTGTCTTATGGTATGGTATTTAAATCATTTGATTACCGTTCTTCCGAATACACACAATGTAAGCTCTTATCAAGAGAGAAAAGAAACATGCCAAGGTAAAACATAAAATTAGGCAAAGCAACAACCTTAGGTTTGGCGTAAATTTTAGTCAAGGTTATAGTTATATGGAATTCGAGGACAAACAGTAACACGCCTCTCTTCATCAGGAGCAAAGAAATCTGAAAGGAAAAACCACGGTTGCACTTTTACTCAGGGGAGTAAAACAAACTAGAAGCTATCGCCATCTGGCGGTAAAAATGGTAACGAAAATTAAGAAATTAAGTTAAAATTAAGTTTAAAAAGACTGAATTAGAATTAAAGTGTTTAACTAAACAAGATAAATCTTTATGAATATGAAATGCTTCAAGAACATCCAATTCACCAATGAAAGAAGCTTTTTGGAATTTTTTTTTAAATTATTTAAAAAGAACTTATATTATGTAACTTCTGTATATAAACTCTTAGCAATTGCATCTTTAAAAGAATTGCAATGAAATTTAAGAGTTGAAAAGTTTGTCCTCGAAATTAATGCGAATAATAACAAGCGTGTTCTCATGATTACCATTACAGGGAAGCAAATTCGAAAATTTGAAACAGGGCATCTATCTTTTTGTCTCAATGTGATCTATCTAGACAGTGAAAAAGCATTAATGATGATGGAATAGTACCTACAATAAAGAACGACAAAAGACCCTCATCTTTTGAGAAAATATATAAGCACGCACTACTTATAACCGACTTAACACGAAGTACTTAACTTCCCAGTTCTTTTCTTTCCCAGTAATCTTGCGGGCAATTTTCGAGTTATAGGTAACATTCCCACTCAGTTTATGGTTTATGGTTTTTCATTACGTCTATCACATGCTGAAGAGAAAAAATGAGCGTTGTTATCCGAAATTTTTTGTTTATATCGCTATAACGGTCTGTGGAGCTCGATTGTTATTATTCGCATGCTTTCAGAGTGCTTATCTTTCAGTTCCTACATCTCGAGTGTTCTTTTTGTTTCGTGCAATCGATAGTTGTTTAGAAAGAGCGTTGTATTAATAGCTTTTCGGTACGATTTCAGAGTCACATGTTTTGAACCTCCTACTGGCAAGCTCTAATCTCAACAAATGTTTTTCTGAATTTAATATTTTTTTCAGTTTTTTTTTTTTTTTTTTTTTTTTTTTTTTTTTTTGTGAGAGAGTTTAAGTGAAAAGATGTGAGAGAGTTAAGTGAAAGAAAAAGTGAGAGAGCTGGAATCGTATGTAGATGTGTGCTTTTGATTTTCAGATCGTATATAAGAAAAGCTATTACACAACTTTACAAAGAATGTTATTTGGAATAATAGGGTTAAAGACAAAAAAGACGTGAATTAAAATGAAGAGACAAAAAGAGAGGCTTGATCATAAAGTGGCAAACATAACCGTTTCGCTTACCACATCACCCATCTGTAGTAGCTTGGTAGGAATCTGACGATAATGGATCCAGTAGAAGTTTCGTCAATAGATTTAGTAGGTCCCTACGTCTAGTAAGAAGTTTACATTAATATGAATAAGAAACAATCCACTTTGAAGGTCCGGTTCCTGAAACATCCGAACTGGAACATCTGCATTAAAAATAACGCTCGCCGCGAAAAAATACTTGAAAGTTAACAGCAAATCTCTCTCTAGGCGTTTCCTAGTGTCTCCAGATCGGTTTCATCCAGCATATAGATATATAAAGCTTAAAACTATTAATGAGTATTCTGTAGACCACTTCATGAACTAATTCCACTAATAGCGTTTAATGAAAACATTCACCTTGAAGCCTTAAGCATTTTTACTAATTAAAAAAATTAATTTTTCATCACTATGTTTCAAGTTATTAAACATGATTGTAGGATTGTATTACGTCTCAATTCTCCGCAGACTCTAACAGACTGCAAAATGAGTTATTGTTTTAGTATAAAGCAAATAACCAAATCGTAAGAAGGTTAAAGTAAACTTTTATTCAACTGTTAAATGAAAAGATGGCGCTACTTGTGCTATAAATGAACCTCCGCTACTTGCGGGTATTTAACAGAAGATTAAATTAATTTTCAATGTAGGTAACGTAGTTTGAGACTACACTTGAAAAGATTCGTGATAACTGGCTCAAAATAATTAACGGCGCATATTTTAAACGTCGGCTAGCAGATGCGAAATCTGAAATAACTTTGGCAAAGTTGGCCATAATACGTAATTGTAATGCGAGGCTCCAGAAGCTCTAAAACATTCAAACCGTAGGCTTAAAATACATAACAACTGATTTGCATTTTGGTGAGGACTATGAAAAGAAGAAGTAAGTATTGGAATCACAATAACTGATTAATTAACATAAAATCTTACATGATTAGCTTCCGTTGCTCTGAAAGGGAACGAAAATTAATCGTGAGGATTTTCATGTTTTCAAGTACAATGCTCAGGAAACGTTTCCAAGGTCTAAATGTCAACTTCTTGAGTTGCTAGGAAAAAATGGAACTCAGAATTATACATTAAAGTACAATCATAAGAGGATAACACTGAATCTTCATTTAGGCATGTCACTCAGTGGTAATTAAGTTCGTTATTCTAAAAGTTATTATCTTAGTAGTAGATAAAGAAGATACGTTCAAATCTTTGAAACGTGTCCTGCTTATTGTTCTTACATTACGTCAATTGCTATCGTGGTTAACCTTTCTCCTCATTTCGAATTAACTTCATTCGGCGTTCCTTCACCAGCAGTTTAATTTTTATTTGTTTAACTCAAATGAAATATGATCATTATAGCCTTACCATATTCATGTAAACAAGACTGGCGTGCATTTCCACATTCACTTGGGACCGCAGAAGTGTTGCGCAAGCAGGGTATAATTCATACCTGTCTGATTTTGCATCCTTCACTTCGTTGTCAGAGAATTCTGCTAAGAAGAAGAAACAAAAAACAATTTAAAATTACACTTGTTGTTTAAAATTAGTTTTAATTCAATAGTAGACTGATGCTAGATTTTTTTAAAATTAACTGTCTGTGTTTTGAGAGAGGTTGCAACTAGTCGCTTTCTTCCAAGGAATAACAATATTCTGAGCCGTAGCTCACGAGCAATGACATAACTAGATAAACAAAATAAATAAAAAAGAAAAATCAATCACCGCGTCAATCATTATGAAACCATCAATCTAGAATCAAAATTGTGACCTAATACTTATGAAAATTTGGAAAATTCTAGACTGGAATTAAAATTATTAATTAAATTTTACTGATTTCGGTGAATGTGGAAGATCTGGAGAAAATCGTATTTAGTATTGAGCAAATTTCAGAGAAACTTAATTTAAAATAACCGTTATGTGATTAAAAACCAACACTAATTAGGTATGAAAGATTTATTTATGACAGTAAAATTCCAGCTATCCTGACCAGTTGCAACCCCAGCCCATCTAGGATATTTGAAACTATGTGCTTTCCGTATTTAAGTTTTCTGCATTCATATAAGGAGTTGATCATTTTTAAGTAAAATTGGACAAAAGGATGGGGTAATTTACAAGAAGCCCTTAGTCTTTAATGGACAACCAGAAGTGGTTCTTTACTTAAGCCTGTAACAGTTTCTAATGATAAACGATATTAAAATATAATTCAAAACTTTTCAGTTCTAGTATTTAAGACTTTCATACTAATGGGAATAGCATATTAGATTTTGGTTAAAATTGATAAAACGGAAATGAGACTTTAGTATAAACTCTGAATAGACTTTCGTAAAAAATATATTGCGAAATAATCCAAACTTCTTATATTTTGTATATGAACAATTTATTAAATTTATAAGCATTAACTGTATTCTTGGACTAATGCTAAATGCAAGGAGAATAAGCTCATTATGAAAATGAGCTTTTATTGTGAAGCAGTTAAATGTAATAGCATCAATCCTCAATTTCGTGTTCGGTTTACTTTTGTGTAGGATCACTTTTCAAGCAAAAGGATACTGCCACTAAATGTTATCGCTATGCATTTTACAAAGAAATAATATAACAAATATAAATAATACAGCGACTAAAAAAATACATGATAACAATTAACACTCTGTTGGGGATCGTAAGGATATGCAGATTTTAAAGATTTTGTGATTTTGCTGTTGAATTTTATGTGGGTAAAATGCGAAGAAAATGATCGTTAATAATAAAAATAAAGCTATAATGAGAAATAAAAAAGCTGGCCATCTCATAAAGTGAGAAAAGACTGGAAAAGAAATGTATAGCAAAACTTAACACAATGTCGGGGATTCTAAATATATGATGCTTTTTAAAATTGTGTGGTTGTTAAGTCACTGATTTGTGAATTCGAAACACTATTTGATCAGAGAATATACTACGATTGATGCGACATTTTCAAATCAAAACATGAGAAAGGATATGTATATGAGCACATATAGTTATCATTGACCTTTGTTTGAGAGAATAGAATAATAAAAACAGAGTACTTGACATTAAGTCTTAAAATTTATAAACAAATTCGATTTTATTTATAAACGATAAACCGAAAATTATAGTTTACTGAAGCTCGTTGCAATTTGCTTGAGACCATGTCTTGTAACTGGTGGGAGGTTATATGCTGGCCACTTCAGATTTTTTTTTTTTTAATGATCAGACATTTGCTATGGAATATTTTTTCGAGAGTGGTCGAATTCGTCTATCCTTTAGTTGTCTCATCACAGAACATGCCCAGTTGCAAGGTTTAGAAAGAAAGCATTTGCTCAAGATTTATAGAAGATATTATTTTCTTCTATAGACTTTGACAAAGTAGTAGACGATATCACAAAAGTATATAAAGGCAAAACATCGAGACCAAAATCTCATTATCACTTATATTTTTGCGGTTATATTTATAAAAATTCCACATAATATTGTTTTAAGACAAGCTATCTATAGATAATTTATTCGCAATGAAATCATCTATCGAGAATATAAAATTAAACGAATCAGAACTTTCATTGCCAAAATCTCTGAAAAATCTTCATAGTTATCTCTGATGTACAAAACTGGTGATACTAACAGCCAAGATCCTTTTGCTCTATTGAGACACTTAATTTAATAAATTATTTGTCCCCTATCCTCTCTTATTAAGTCCTCTCCTAAAGTGTATCTAGTTCTGAATGTGTCCTCTCTAATCTCTAATAAATTGTCCTCTGTTTCAATGCCAACATATTAAACACTTCACAGTAGATCACTCTTCTGCTCCAACCACCAGTCATTTTCTTAGTTCCAACCACCAAACAACTAGAACGGGCAGATCGCGGCTAATTTCCTTTGGTGCACTTGTTTATGTTATACCATCCCAGACGAGATCAAGAATGCTTGCTATCGATATCATCTATGGATATCATTTAAACTTTAAGAAACAGAGACTTACACGGAATTAATTCCAAAGTATTGCTGTTTGCCTTCAAATGTTCGACTCATATTTGCCTGAAAATGGTCCAAACGTGCTATTGTGGGATAGCAGATAGCGTATTGGTGGATAATGAGAAAAAGTTGTTTGCGAACTGCGTCCGCCTGAGTCTTCAAAGCCATATGCGGGACTTCAGCCCTAGAGTTCGCATTAGCAGGCAGCCTCAACTAGCCACTATACTATCCAGAAAGACTGACCACTATTAAAATTCGGATTTCATGTTATGTAGAAGGGGATTATTACTCCCAGTTTGAAGCCATCGATAACCTTTCAAGGCCTCTGACAGCTCTCTTTTTTTTTAATTCTTTTTCCCTCTCAGTTAGCTACTTGCATATGTTTCACGATTCTGTAAGTAATGTTTATATGGAATTCAATATGCTTCAGTCAACATCAACAGCCAATGTTCTATAAGATTACGAGACCCTGGTAAGTCCAAACTCCTTTCCAGAAAGCTGTTTCAGGGCTTGGCCTTCATTATAAAGTTTGCAAGGACTTGAGCTAAAAATAAATTGTAGTCTATGATACAGAAAATGCGTAGGAATATCAGTGGTGGCCATGCAGCTCAAACCGAAGCACTTTTGTAATTTATCCTGATGTACAGTGGTATTTCGGTATACGTTCTCTTTGAAACGAGTCCAACTAAATATACGTTCTGTTTGGACGTAAAAATTTTTGTTTGGTATATGCAACATTTGTTTGGAATACGACTCGAGTTCAGTGAGTCACGACTGTGCGCACTACACTTGTATATTTCTTTTGACACAATGCTAAGACCGCCCATGAGCGTCAGTACGCCTATTGTTGCTATCAATAAACAACCCATGCTTCAGTTATAAATGGATTTTTTTTTTCTTTTTTCTTTTTTTTCTTTTTCTTTTTTTTTTTTTTTTTGTAAATTCATTAATAATGAATTTTAGGAAAGTTTATGAGAAGAGCCAAAGGATGACCATGGACGTGAAAAAAGGGTTTGTTGCAAAGTATGAAAATGACATCCGTAATTTGGGACTTGGTTATTGCAAACTGTATACCAAGTGGTGTCTACGTTCGGGAAAAGCAAAGACGCTTTTAAATCGGCTAAAGTTGCGAAGGGAGTGCTATCGTTTATCAAACAAAGATCAGAGAGATTAGAATATGTTGAAAAATTGCTTTTGATTTAGATAACGGAAAAATGTTTATATACAGTATCACGCGCAAAGTATCATCGCAGCATATGTGTCACCCGCTGCATTTGTATTTTAGTATTAAACAGTGTTGTAACAACAACCATAATAATTTTTCTCCCAAAAATGGATTAATTATTTTCCTTTCATTTCTTATCGGAAAAATTCGTTTGGTATACCTCCAAGGATCTGAAACGGGTTAATAACATATTGCGAGGTATCACTGCAGTTGTTTCGGTTCTTATAAATATTTTAAAAATAATCTCGAACATAAATTTAAAGAAAAGATTAAGGAACACGTGACAAATAAACTAATAGAAAAATTTAAAAAAGACAACAAAATATTGCTATAAAAGCAATCGAACATTTCATATACAGAGGAAAAGACTTATTATAATACAGAAGTATTTGCGATAAAATGCTGCAGTAAAACTAGACTTATTAAGAATTGTTAAAATGTGCAAGGAAACTGAAGCTTGTAACAATTGTCGAAGAATCTGCCATATGCAGATGAGCGCAAGTACAAATTTTCATTACACTTTCAATGGATTTATTTTTACAAATCTCTGTTTGAAGCAAGCAGAAAGAAAAAATTTACTGCAAAAAGTATACAAATTTTAAAATAGGAAATAATTTCAAATAAATCAGCAATGTGCATTTTCGTCATATTATTATTAATAGCAAATAAAAAAGGACCAGAATAAAATTTTAAACTTTTCTATCTTTCATTTACTAAATGCCTTTATTTAAATGTTTAAAAACCACATTTCAATGGCGGAGAGTTTTCACAATTGCTCTGATATTTCGTAATTAAAAGTCTTATTTTTTTCAGCATAATTTGTTGTTCTTCAATACTTCCCGCAGGTAAAAAAAATCAATATATAAATAAATAAAAGCAAGTTAAATCGAAAGAAAACGCTAAGAAGCATTATTAACACGTCTTCTTGACAAATATTTTCATTTTATAGGGCATATTATTGCGACGCTATTTTCTTGATATAAGAGGCATGATGTGATGTATGATTTGGAGGGTAAGCGCGATTTCATTGTAAGCAAGAATTTCATTCCTAGATAAAATTAAGTTCTCTGTAGACCGTATTTAAAAAAATCTCTCTAGGAAATTAACCTAAGTTTTTCTTTTATAAATAATTGCAGGAACCTGTCTATTTACTTATGGGTTTCTAATTATCTGTAAAGTATAAACTATCAATGTAAACAGCCTGTGAAGAATAAACTATTTTACTATCTAGCTGTGCGAAATAAAATATAACAAAATCTTAAACTGAAAGAGAAACACCCCAGTATAAATGTAAAATGAAGAAAGAAAAGAAAAAACAATTTTAGTTTAGACTAAATTTTGAATAAAACTCAGTCGACTTCGAAGATGTTCATACGCAGGTCCCTCTTCCTCGGGAGCAGAAAAATGCTTTTGCTAATACATGTAATAAGAGAGCAGAAATTTTTGCTGTTGAAGAAGAGGAACTTGTGCCTGAATGCTCTTCATATCAATTGAGTTCTATTCAAAATTGTATGCTAAACGAAGGTTTGTTGTTTCGCCTAATTTTAAACACCGAAATCTCTTGCAATGACCTCCTTCCTGAAGCTAACCCGTCTGAAATTGGGAATTATTTCGGATGTCTTATTTACGTTACAGTATTGATTCTCATTTACAGTCATGTTCTTAAACGCAACCATTTCCATAGTAGATCACAACCTTCTAGACTAATTATGAGTGACAGCTATAGAGAAGTTTCTCTAAATTTCCAAATCATTTTTTTAAATATTACATTTTGGCTTGCCTTGAGCGCATAAACTAGTTCCAAATTCCAAAAAAACGTAAAGAAAATTATCGTTGTGTCTAATTAAAACAGAACTTTGAACTTGAACATACTTCTTGTGCTAACAGAATCAACTCCCACTTGTGGCTATGTAAATAAAGTAACAATCAAATTCAAATTTAAAACGTAGACTAGTAATAAAAGACTACGTAATTAAATTTAAATCTAAGATGACTCAAGAACTGTGTATCAAATTTAAATGTCGGCAGCAATAATATAAAGAATAATGGATCAGTTTCATCACCGGAAAGGATAATGGATTTATTGTTGGAAGCCAATAAATAAGAATTTGATCTTTTTGCAAAAGTAGGGAACGAAACTACAGATACTCACGAAGAAATCCAACAACAGTCGCCAGACTTAGACACAAACCAGCCGATATCCAAAAGAAAAATTTCACCATTTTGCATGCGTTTCGAGCAAGTTTCGAGGTAGCTGTTGTATTATACGCGAAGCCCTGTCGCGCATTCTCTAAGTGCAGGCGGTTAAAGGTCAATGAGATAACTTGACGTCTGTATATGAGAAAATTGGTCGATAACATCTTTTGGGGTCCTGACCTGGAGATACGGAAGCATACGTGACGGCCACTCCATGTCAAAGGAGTATTTTGGAAGTGTTTTGGTTTGGTTACCCCCGGAATCAGAACGTTGTTAAGGGCGTTGCTACGACTACGCTTAGTTAATTGGGTGGCGATTGAGGCATGGTGGTTGTTAACATTTAGGTGGTGGTCAGAAAATAGAGAATCGAAACGTAATCGAAGGTTTTTTATTGTTACCTCAAAAAATTGCCTTAACCGTTTAGCCATCTAAAGTTATAGATAAAACTCTATCGGCTCTCTTCCTTAGTGCTATTGACATCTTGGTTAAAATCACTACTAGAGGAAAACGTTTGCGTAGTTTGGAGATGCTCGAATTTAGGACAGCTTCCTTCTAGAAAATATATGGTCTTTTATTAAAGGAATTTATTTTGTATCCCACACTGATACTTAATTTCTATAATATTATGAGTTACTAAATTACTTTGAATTTTGAATTTAATTGAAGTTTCTTTGGTCTTCACGTCAAGAAATTAAAAAGAAACCGAAAGAGTCACCACACTGTAGTTTATGATAAATAATAATTCCTCTTTTTTCCCCTCTTTTAAATTACCGCATGGGTTCGAATAAAAGATGATCTCACCTACTCACATTTAAGACGACCGCGCATTTATAAAGGTGCTTTACAAAGCGCAACCCAGACCGCTGAATATGTGTAGTTAATCCTTGTTCGAGCACAGGCGAAAGGGCTGATGCATAGTTGGCTTTAGTTGTTTTCTCTATGCGTAACATAATACAAGCCAGTTTCACTCGCAAAATCCTCCACGACGGCATCCTTTCCTTTAGACACATAGGTTTAGTGCATTATTTCGTATTCAAATAACTTAATGTAGCCTTCGCAAGTGAAAATATGACGTTGAAAATAGTACCGAATAGTTCCTTCTGTTGGCGGATACGTTGAATAATTAATTGTCTTTGCGACAAGAAACGATTTTTTACAGCTGCATAAACAGATTTTCTAACTGTGATCATTATTTTCATAACTGCAATCATTTTTCATATTATTTATCATTTATGTTTTTTCACCCATCTTCTTTTAGTGGAAGGGTGAAACTAAATATTTGCTCCTACTCACCAGGAAAGGAAACCTCATTGATATCTATTTTTACACTAACCGTATTTCATTGCAAACCGCACCGTATCATTTTTTAAAGTTTTCACGGACTTCAGAAGATTGTTCTGTAACCAAGATGTATAACAGATGGTGTTAGAAATTTCAGTTTATTATGCAAATGCTTGTAAAAATTATCAGCAACATGCATCGTAGAATACTGTTGCTGACATTCGGTATGCATTACTAAGCTGCTCACTGCTTTTAAACAGTTTAGGTTTTACTCGGATAAGTGATGCATTGCTATTATCTGAAAGATAAAAATTTCAGTAACGATGATAATTATTAAACAATTGCATATATTGTTCACTCACAAATCACGCAACAATTGTTTTTAAAGCTTTTACACAGTAACAATGCAAGGATAAACAATACACTGCTATAATTTGGAAGATAAATTTAACATTTTATGCTTTGAGTATGCAACTGCTGTTAAAACTGGTTATCTGAAAGGCTGCATGGATGATCGATGTTGTTATAGCGTAGTATATCATAATGCTACTTGAAGTTAAACGTGGAAATATCACAAAAGTTTCTAATATCAAAGGGAAAGTAAAATTTTAAAGTATTATGAATTTTTCAGGTCAGTAGCTAAGTAAACTATAAATTACATAAATTTTAAAAAGAAAAAAACTTTTGCTATTGTAAAATTATTTGCAACGTATTTACGAAACCTTTATACTTCTACATGTGTTTAAAATAGTAGTTATTTTCTCTCCATACTTGTTATGAATGCAGAATCAGTCTACTATTTAATATAGCCCTTCCTCTACACATAGATTAGTTTGTTTTATTTTCCAGCGATAAAGCTCACGCGCACACATTGCAGGAAAGAGGGAAAAACACAACAGAATTACAGAAAGTGAGACGGTGGGGAAAAGGACAGAAAAGAGTAAAAAATAGAGCTAACTGAGGTTAATTTGTAGCATTTGCGTAGATCACCATTCTTACTTGGCCATCTTTTCAACTAAACCAACACCGTCTGTAATGGATTAAACTAACATATAGCTAAAATATACTAGTGACGAATATGAGGTTATGCATATTAAAATTACATAAAGTTACTGAAGGCCTTACAGAATTTAATAATTACTAATATAGATGCACTTTTTTACGGCTAACAATTCTTACCTTCCCATCCCAAACAGATTAAATGAAATTAGCTTACTGATAGTTGTGAACTTTCAATGAGCTGGCTTATTTGTTATTCTAATTAAAATTGTGGTAAGGCAAAACATCGTCACAGCCTCTCAATTGTAAGTAGGGCTTACTGCAATAACGAGCAATGAATCATCTAGACACTTCGGCTTTTACTCCAGTTTTATTGTAGACTCATTAGGCCTTTGTTTTGTTTGTTTTTAAGCAGGAGACGTGAAAAAAAAAAGCAGTAGCCTCGCCCGGACTCGAACCAGGACACCTCGAATGTGCGCCGAGTGTGCTACCGTTACACCACGAAGGCATGCAGAAAGGAGGGAGAAAATACTATATTATTGAATACATGATTTTAGATATTGATTCCTGTGTTACAGCACCAAAGAAAGTCGAGACTGCGTGTGCAGGTACTTTGTGCTGTGCAACACAACCTTATACACTCAGTGCATCTTTGTAGTTTGAAGACTGGTTGGGCCGTCGGAGGCCATCGTTTGTCGTGAACTTAGAGGCGACCCAAACAAGATCATAAGGTCTATTTTTAGACCAGGTGAATCGGGTCGCTTTCCTCTCATTTTTACCTTATATACTCCCCCTTTTAAAGGGTGACTGGGGATTAGGGGACCGAGTCACCGAATCCTGGTGGTAAAGAATCATCATTCACCACCTTTTAGTTCGGGAGCTACTATGGAGTTATTAGGATTTTTGAAGCAGGAAACATGAATTTACTGAAAAATGCAGTGCCTCCGACGGGACTCGAACCTGGCCCTCTCGAATACGCGCCGAGGGTGCTACTGTTATGTCGCGAATTTTAATTATATTAATGTTTGTTTTAAGTTATCATTATTATAGTATTTTTATTTGTACTCATGTATATTTTAATCTAGTAAAAAGAATATTCTTAAATTGTTAAAGCCTTTTTTAGCTGGTAGTTCTTGAAACTGTAGTGTAACAAAGACAAGAGACGGTTGCAAGGAGACACCTGGTTTATGGCTTTTTACTAACAGTGGAAGCAGTTACGGTGTTGTAGTTTTCTTAGGTGGGAGCCTTACTAATGACATTGAAATGAAAATCGTAAATCGTCTTTCTCATTCTGACTTGCTTTCGCTTTGTTATAGTTGCAATTTTTTTTACTTCAAGACAGTGGGGGTTTGTTACAAGTTTATATAATTAGATTTCTTAGCGCTTAGTTTCTGCTTGTTAGCTGGGGGGTCCACTTTACTTCCCACGTTCAGAGTACAGATGGTCAGGACTGCATTGTCCGGATGGCCCTGTTTTGATTCGTTGGGGGGGGGTGAAATTTTCTCAGTTAAAGATAAAGTAAAATTCTGAGATTGGCGAGATTTAATTTTATGATTTTTTTTGTAAACCTATGAAATTTCCAGGGGCGACCGAGTTTACTTCGGAGGTTGAACTATGTAAGAAGTTAGTCTTAGTCTTGAGTCTTCATTCTGATTCTGAGTTTTGAGCTAAAAGTAAAAGGAGAGAGCAGAAGGTGTGGGGGTTTGACCCCTGGCGGGTCTTGCTTTCGCGTGTAGGAGTGGAGTCTGAGATTGGAAGTGAATCTTGACCAGACGAGATGTAATGAAAAAAAAAAAGAAAGAGTGTCGGGGCTCTTCTTGCGAGGGCTTGCGCCCGTGGGTTGGTGCGACGTTTCTCTCCGTTTGCTGCTAATGAGAATTTCAGATCGAAAGGAGAAAATGCTTTATCTTATTCTGCGGGAAAGTCCAAATGGAGTCATTTTTCGTCGAGTTCCAGCTAGTAAGACGGCTAAAGAAGTATGATGCGGAAAATTCTACTGGTGTCGTCTTTCGTCGTGTTCCAGCAAGTAATCCGGCTAAAGCAGTGTGATGTGGGAAATACTACTTGACTCAGCAATAAGGGACTTATTCTAGAAGTTATTGTAAATTCTGGTCCGATTCTGATGCGGAAAATTCCACTGGTGTCGTCTTTCATCGAGTTCCAGCTAATAATGCAGCTAACGTTGTGTGATGCGGGAAATTCTACTTGACTCAGCAATAATTGGCTTATTCTAGAAGTTATCGTAAATTCTGATCCGAGTAACGAATTTTTTTCTTGACTACTAACTGTGAGTTCCTTATGTTTTTATATATCATTTGCAGGAATCATAGATTATTTGTCCGGATAAAGTTAACTAATCTTGCATTTTAGTGGAAAGGGAAAGTTAATTTAATAATGGGAAAATTAATTCAATAATGAGAAAATTGCTTTGCACCTTAAAGAGAATTTGAAATTGTTGCCTTTAAAATGTGCAATTCTGTAAATTGTAAAATTACTGATCAGTTTCGGTGAGATCCACTTTAAATATATAATTTAATGTTAACGAATAATCATAAGACTCCTTTATTATTTTAATTTGGAAGTTTGATCTTGATAAATGTACCTTTGAATTGATACATAATGTGGAATATTAACAATTGTTGTATGTAAGGGTAGTCTGGCCAGCTATCTGAAATTGGATATTCGAGAAATTAATAAATGGGTGTTTGTTATATATTTTATGTTTCATTTATTTAATTTTGTGTGTAAGTTACTGTGGTCTGTCATGTTACTCCATTTGTTTGCGCCGGGAGGCTTTTTAAGGCACATGGAGTTTTATTGAATTTGGTGTTA